TTGCTGCAAATCTTTTTAGTTGCTCTTTCTCTCGAAGTTTGGTGCCCATTGCTGGTTTATGCATCAGCTGAGACTTTACTAGAACTGAAGTGAAAAGATCAGTCTGTGTGCTTGCTTGAGATGTGCCTCTCCTCTTAATGCATCCTAGCAAAATGTTTGCTTTTTCTGCAGCAGTTTGTTTTCTCCAGATTATTTTCTGCAGAAATTCTCTTTATCTAATTTCCCATCTAGCTCTTGTATAATGAATTATTCTTAATTAATTGTAGTATGCTACAGGCATCATTATTGGATTTCATCCCATTTGTTTCAGATCATTACTCCAGTTGTTCAAGAGCTTAAATAATAGTCCTTTCCTCATGAATACTTGCAACCAATTTTTCTTCCCAAAGCCAATCCTTTAACCTGTTTTATATTATCTCCAGATGGGAGTAAGATCGTTTTGTGCAATTTTTAAAAATTGCATATGAAAATATTGTAAAGTATACAATCTAGGACTTTTTTTTGTGGACTGCTGATAGGAGTTAGGGTTAATGTTTTTCAGTGAAGTTTGTGCTTCATCTGATAGTATCTTTTTCCTAGACTGCATTTTTATTGCTTCTCTGCCAGAGAATGTAATCAAAATCTTACTGAAGTCAAAATGTGTAATATTTTTCCTTGGTCCATCGYATCATTTACATGTCAAAGAAATAAACAAAATTTGACCTGGAGGAGTTTATGGTGACTGTTGCTTGGTATTCTGCCAACAAAAAAAGTGGTCTGTCATTTTTGTGTAGAATTATTGTAAGTATTTCCTTGATTATCTGTTGTAAGTATTTCCTTGATGATCTCCATTTGGAAAAAAGTTTCCACATGCCACAAAAAAGTCTTGAGGCTTCAAATTTAATCACAAATAAATATTTAATTTTGGTTTTGGTTTTTTTCCCCCCTTCTTGTGAAAAATAGATTGTGGCAAAAAAAAAAAAAAAAAAAAAGMATTGMAAAACYTTKTAGAGTTTCTGTTGATTCATCTGGGTAAGAACATAATTTTTTTAAAAAAAAATTTAAAATGGGCTGGACTTGTTTTAAAACAAATTTTAAAAAATAGGTGGTGAATAATTAGAGTGCCATGGCAAAACTTTGCTGCTTCTATGTAGAAACGCTTCATGAATGAAGCAAGCAGTGTGTCCTCAAGAGYTGGTTTAACCTGTCATGAGAAAGATGAGAACAATGCTGTTATGCTTGGTTGCCACATGCATGCAACATGATACCATTTCAACTTAATAAAAACCCAAGTATTTACTATTAAAACTAATTACTTTTAAGAGYTGACAATTTACTTCCAGTAGTGCTGAGTGGAATCAGCACCTGAAACAGCTATTCTCATTTTAGATCCCTTACAGAGGCCTTTTGCAGTGTAGTTTTACATTTCCATAACCATAGCAAATGGTTTCAGTGCACTCATAAGTGGCTGCACATCCACTGCAAGCTAATCCTGCTTGGTTATTTTCTTTACCAAGGATTTTCACCAATTTTCATGAGTAAGACTGAGCACAAAACACCCTGTGGTAGGTCAGGATCCTGGGTTTGCTGCAGAACCAGCTCTTRCCCTGTTTGATGATTTCACACATCCAGGTGCTTCCCACAACACTGTTCACAAGGTCTGAAATTCCCTCTGTGCCAGGGATACCACTGGAACGGAAAATCGTSTGGATTCTTGCTGTGCTGCTGCTCACAGACACCAATCTCATGTCCCTGCAAAGTCCCTGCACATCCAGAGGCATCTGTCTCTATGCCTATGAAGATCTTCTGAATCTTCTCTCACTTCCAAAATCTTTACTCCAATTATGATTTTTTTTCACTTTCTTTCCAGTCTTCAGTTGTCTCTTTAAGACCACTGATTCTTTTTGGGAAAGCTTCTTTTTTTCCTCTTTTTTTTTTTCATTGCTCCAAGGCCCCAATTTTTCCAATCTCATTAGTCTAAATGCAGTGCACAGTTCATCATCAGCCTAATTGGGCCTTCTGTCTCACTCCATTGATGGGAGGGTTTGGAATGTGCCATTTTAGTCTTAATATTATCAAAATTTGCAGCCAACCCTTTTGGGATACAGCTAGCAAGTGGCAGGAATCTTTCTCAGCTCAGAAGTTTGGACAATTTTCTGCCCCCCTGCCCCAAATCACTTGCAGTTGTTTGCTACCTGTTGGCATTCCTGTTTTAAACTATTTTTTTAAATCATGACATTGGCTGAAAATCAAAGCTCCACTAGTAATTTTATTTTTTTGTGCAAGAAATGCCAGTACAAATGAAATTCAAGATATTTACATACTTAGAGGTATCCTGAGTAATAATTCTGATTTCCATTGTTTATTTCTACTAAAATTGACTAATCCTATTTAAAAACTTAATTACTGTGGAGTGGTTAGCTGGCAGATGTTCTGCTAGATTTGATGTAATTAGGAAAAATACATTATGTTTTCTGACTAATTTATTCACAAGCCTTTGAGTTAAGTAGGTTGATTGATAGTAGAAGGATTAACTGAAAAACAACAAAAATGCTTATAGAAGTATTTAATTAGTTAAGTTAGGAAAATATTCCACTTAATGGGATTTTTTCTTTATGCTCTCATTTACATAGCCCATAAAACTCTAGTTCAACAAATGTTTTTTTAAAAATAGCCCTACTATGTTTCACTTCCACTGGCACATTTATGTGGCTGCATGGCAAAAGTGGATTGGGTGTGGATTAATTTACAGATTAAACAGKAAAGAAATTTTTTGCTCTATCTTTTTAAGCCAGCTTTGTTCCCCAGCTACGTTCTTGGCACACAGACAATTCTACCAACATGAAAGAAAGGATTAGTGAAAATGCAACAAAGTACAAAAGTGCTGTGTATGGAGTCCCTGGCCATGGCAGGGGATTTAGAATTTGATGATTTTTGGTGTCCCTTCCTACCCAAACCATTCCGTGATTCTGATACAGGCAGAGCTGCTATTGCTTAAATGTGCTCAAGGAATATTCCCACTGGAAGACTAAAAGCAGCAAATAGTATATTTAAAGTAGCATTTAAAGTAGGAGAGAAAATAAAGTTACTTATTTGATCAAAGGATATGGTTTAATGGGTTTCCATAACCAGGCTGAGCAAATCAATTTAGATTACTAACCAGAAGAATAATTCATTCATGGAGATAATAAAGCAGAAAGAGTTAATCTTAAAAAGTTAAAAATTAAAATTTGAAAATTGTGATTTATTGGAACTACTGATAYTGTGTGCTGAGAGTCAGTCTGAACTGTATTAATAAAAAAAGAAGACAGTTTATTGATTTTTATAGGTTCTAACTATGATCAATAAAATGATGAATTTGTGGTAGGAAGACTAACTTTTTAGGAAGAAAGTAAGCTTTCAAAAATGTATTTTGCTATTTTTAAAGTTATTTGTTTTTGCAGTGACTGCATTAAATATTTTTTAAACAACTGTAAGAGGATTACCAAGAAGATGGGATGAAACTAATGCCTCTTACTGTAGATATTTGTAAAATGGATGTCTGAATTTAGGTAAAATTAACACTGCTATGATTTWGATGTTGAGACCCATATTTAGTATAATCTCATTCTGTCATAAATAACATGAAGATGTTATATGTCCTATCAGGCTSCATCTTTGGTACCTTCCAATATGGAGTTTTCAAGAGCTGAAAATTGAGTTTTCTGCCTGAAAAAGTTCTTTCAGTTAAACAATAATGGAAAAAAAATTACACAGTGACATTAATGCATGTATTAATTTTGATTTGAAAACTTAAAGAAAATGAAATATTCATCAAATAGTCCTTTGAATACTGTAGTAGTTTTTTTTTTAGCTGAAAATATATTTAATAAGTATTTAGAATAGCCTTATGTAAACTCATTCACAGCATGAAGAAGGAAAAATAAGAGATTTTGGGCAAAGCCTAAACATCACCAGACTAAAGCAGTGGCAAACTAAAATGATTAYCAATGTCACAGTTAAATGAATTTACACACCTTTGTTTCTGAGMTTGTGCAACATCTGCTCCTGTTTCCTACTAAAGCTGTATGAATATGCTGAAGTATCTGCAAGCTGATGTGAGGGGATGGACATTTAATGTTCTTCTGATGCTGAGTCAACTGTAATCTATCAATGTCTGTCCATTTTCTGAATAATGACAGATTTTACTTAGGATCTGGTACAGGATTTTGTTGTAGGTTTAACTAATTTTTTAAGTGTAATAATGAAATGAAACATATATAATTTTTCCCATATGATCCCAGTCTATTTGAAAACCTTGCCATTGGCTGAAATCCAAAGTGTTTCCTAAATTTGTGAGTTTGGACCTGAGACAGTAAAGTTGTGTAAATGCTATGTTATGTGTTTAAGATATGGGTGCTTCAAATAGGAAATTACATTCAATTTCTTAATGATCAGTTTTATTTTATTAAAAACATTAGAAATAAAAAAATAATGTAATTTGTGAGGCATTGGGGTTTACAACAGTTATAGAAGTGATTTGTGCTGCAACAATTAAGCTATTAGCTCTCATTTATATTGCATTTATGSCAAATAATTTAACATGACCTTAAAGAAAATCAATAACCTCTTCCTTTTTATGTCTTAAGCATTTCGACTTTAAATGATTTCTACATATTTTCATGAGTTTCAGTAGCCCTAATAATGTTAGGCCTATAAAAATAAAAAAAATATACATATTTAGRTTCCTAATCTGTGAGGTTTACTTTAGTGTATTTGCTTTCCATTCTGCTGTGATGAATACTTTTACATACTGCAGCTGAGTGAGTTATAGTTACAATATTCCAGGTGAGATTTTTCACATTTTCAGCAACAGCTCTGAGATAGAAATGTGGCTGTGAAATTCCACATGAAAATGGATGTTTCCTTCTTCTGTTCCTTCCTCTACTCAGTGATTTCTAATGTTGTCATATCTATCTAGAGCACAATAAGCATCTTAGGGAGAGGAGAATCTCATGAATCTTGCTTTGTGTTTTAACCAGGTGGAATACCACCCATGAGATGGGTGGTGAATTTTGACCACGATCTTCTGGATAGTCTGGTATTGGCAGCCCAGGTGGCAGCTTATTGTCCATATTTGGTAAGAAGGTTTTTTTTTTTTTTTTTTAAATAATGTGCAAGTTTTATACAGTTCATTAATGTGAGTGGGTTTTTCCAGGCCTTGTTTTCCTTTGCAATGATGAGGGGTGCATTCAGTGCAGGCAGCTCGGGTTGCAGTTGTGGTGGAGCTCTGGGTGGTGGAGGAAAGAGATCTGGCACTGCCCCYTTGAMYRACAAAGGACCTGGGGACCTGTGGCACTGCCACGTGGCCAGAGAGACACGGCAGGAGCTGAGGATCCAGCAGGAAAACCCCAGACTTCCACACACTCAGACTGAAGATGTAGAAAAGCCCAAGATTTCCTTTGTGCAAGATCCCTCCACAGAAGCACCAGGTCAAGGTGTTCTTCTGTTATTGCACCAAGATTAAATCATTTTAAGGGTTCAGATGGCTGAGACCCTGCTATGGGAAACCTGGGGTTGAGCCATATGGAAAACTTGTCTGAGAGTGTGAGTGGGGGATGTGTAGAGAGTCAAGCAGGACATCCTTCACTCACTGGGGCTTCCCACTGGGATGGTCCATCAGTCCCAGCTCAGGTGGCTGCCAGTGGCTCCTGGGTGGCTGGACAGGGTAATTTCCTTAACAGCAGCGCTTGGCCTATGTGATTTTTAGAAAGAACAAAGCAACCCCAACATATAGCAAGCCAGGGATTATTTCAGTATTAATTTTTCTTTTTATTGGGTATATTCTTAGCAGGGAATTTCAGTTCAAAGTTTAGACCTGATGAATTACTGAATGAGCAAAAATACAAAATCAGTAGTTTTACTTGGTGGAAGATTGARTTTGATTTCTCTGTCTTGTCTAGATTCCCACTCACTTCCTAAAGATGTATACTGATCCAACAACCCATGAACAGTTTCTGCACAACTCTTTGATACTTGTGAAGGCTCTGCATACTGTCAATCTGGATATGGCCATAAAGGTGGGGGATTTCATACTGGCAGCTCTTATATATATTAATGTTTTTATTTTGACTTTTTGTGTGGTAGTGCTGCATATCAAGTTCAGGTGAGATTATAATGAAAAACTTTTGTTTCAGGATGTGTTAGTGTATGATGGAAACCAAAATACAGCTTCATATGAATAGATTTAATTAAAAGTAATTTCCTTCCTTTGTAGAATACACATACACAGCTAGCTGAACATAAGATTAGTTCAGTTCAGATTTTAGCATCCTCAATCACACAATTACAATCCAAATGGAATTCATTATAAGTATTGGAAGGCAATTTAGAAAAATATGTTTAAGAACAGGCATCATGCACTTAACCATAAAAAGAAGTGTGAAAAACATTTATGTGGATGTCAGGTGACACTTACATGCATCTAACCATGAGGGCTCATGGGAGCTCTGTCCCAGGTTTGATGCACACAGAAGTCAGTTGCTTTGGATGCTGCTGGATGCTGCACTCACTCTAAATCATCAGCTTCTGGTGTCCTTTTTTGGGGAGGAATACAATGTTTTTGATGATTTCTTCCATCAAGGATCTGCTTGGGATCTCTTTTATGTTTAGTAAACATGTTTAATATCTCTGTGGTTTTTATTGACCTGTGGCTCCAAATTTTCTATATATGGTGACCTTTACATAGATTAGATTCCTTTGTTCTTTCTTATCTCCCTAAAACCAGTTTTCTCCTCTCCTAGTCTGCATTTATTCAGCTGTCCATTTGTGAGTTATTTATATCTCTGGGAGCATATTGGGCTGGCTGGAAGAGCAGAAGATTCAGTAAAATCGACATAGTACTTAAAAATGGATGAGGAAACTTTCCAAAGGAATTAATAGTATAGGAATCAGAGGTAGAGCTTGTATGTGTGAACAAAGTAGTACAAAAGAAAGCTCAATTACGACTTTTTTTCCCATTTCCATTTGATTGTGTTATGATTACAAGGAAAAATTAACCCTGCTATTTCCATTTGTGTCAGCTACTGTCTTGCTGTCACCTCCTGATACAGGTAACACTGACAGAAATGACTTTGCTTTGACAGGCTAAAGAAAATCTACTGCTTCAAATACTGGTGACTGACAGGAAGCAAAAAAGCAATCTGGCAAAACAAAGGCATATTCTGCCTTTACTTTTATTAAGAAAAACAGGCAGTTCAGCACATGAAGGCAGAGGCTTGATGCCAGATCTGAAAAGCGTGTTGAACACGTTAGATATGGAAGTAGAATTCTAGGATATTCTCCWTAATGTACCTGTTTCAGGACTAAATTGTCTACAATAGATGAGAAAATCCATTTCTGTACAAACAATTTAAACAAAGGTACACACTCAGTATCAGAAAAAGGAGGAGTTTTGGATCTTCAAGGTCTGTATTTAAGGTCTAAGGGAACATTTTACATAGGCTTATAGAAATTCATAAATACTTTTCCAAGGCTATTGTAGAAACTTCTGAACTATCTTGTTCTTCTTTGATAAAAGTAGCACAATGCATGAATCCTTTTGCTGAATTCTCTTAATTTGGGAATTTTCTGATAGTCTTGTTCTGATATTTAGCAGGCTAAAATGTTCCAATAGCATTGGCAATTTCTTGACTCAGACAGTCCCTGCTTCTGAACTGTCAGGGCAACTTTGCATTAATTGATGCAGGGATGGTGGTGGCAGCATAAGCTGGGATGTGTTAGGCCTGGAACAGCTGGCATTTTCAACCTAAAAATCTAATATTTTGTAATTAYAAAGAAGTTTGACTGTCTGGAAGTCTCTGGCTTCTGGTCTAAATTACTTTAAATGGAGTTCAAGGCTTTAAAATCCTTTTAAAGATTAAGGTGTAGATTTAAGATGAAGCATTTCGGACTGGGAGTTCCATGTTTCCACTTTCTAACCATGATTGACAATTCAACCCTAGAGTATTAGTTGTGGCTTTCTATGTGTTTTTTTTATTCGGGTTTGATATGCTTAAGTTTCAAAATGCTTTGATTTGAAGAAGATTCAGCTGAAATCCTGAAATGAAATATTACAAAATAGAATGGTGGATAATAGCAACATGGAGGGAATATTTGTGACAAAGATAAATTAGGATAGAAAATGCAGGGACTGAGAATAGTCAGTAAATTTGTTCAAGACTTTGTTATTTATTATAATTTATTTATTATTATTGCTATTGTTTGCTGACATATTTTTAAAGCAAATAATATTTMCTGACTGATTTTCTGATTAATCGTGTTAAAAAGTACAGTTTTGAAAATTTTTAAATTAGTTTTTGGAATAGTGGATAAATGTTGCAAATGGAGTTTTATGCATTAATCACAAGATAAAATAGAACAATATTTTCTGAGAGAATAAATTCTGATCTAAGTGAAAATGGGTAGAAAGAAGTAGGTGGCAAAAGAAAGTCTTCAGCAGTAATCTACTCTGGCATCTTTGCTATCTTAAATGAAAATGCMGGAAGAGGGAAAAGTAGAGGTGTAAAACCACAACTGTATTGGAATAATTGTTAACATTCAATTACTGAGATAAATGAATGAAAAAATCAGAATACTTTTCAGACTTCAGGTTTAATGCTTTTGGCATACAAGAAACCTTTTTACTTTGCATAGTAAATGCATCCTAAAGTTCCAATCTCAAACCAGTGGTGATGGAATTTAATAGAAATACGAGATGAGACATATGATTACATCAGTGCATGAAGAGTATATGAAATTAGTCTTAAGAATTTCAAGGATAAACATTATCTAGGAAACCATGGAGAGTTTCAGGGAAACTTTAGATCAGTGCCCCCTCTCTTGGAAAGTCAGAGGAGGAGCTGTGTGTGAYATGCTGGGAGTAGGATGAGCTGCTTGGCTGGGCAAAGGGCAAGAGAACTTTACCTTGTAAACTTTAAATGAACTTTAACTTGAAAATAAAAATTAACTCAGATAGTTAAGATGAGAAATATGTGTATACATGTCTCGCAACACTAAAGACAGTTCAGAAGAGTAAWTCTTTATTTTCTTCCTTTTCTAGTCTTTGTGGCAAATAATTCTACCATTCTCTCCAGTGATTTACCAGAATTGCTGAGGACTAAAGTTTGTTATGTTTTGCAGCTGCCCCTCAAATTARTTTCTGTAGGTCAGATATTTAAGGTGCAGGAATATTTGCTACCTTTTCTAAAACAATTTAGTATCTGAACAACTAGATAGTTGCAATTTAGAAAAGTGACTGTCCTCATAAACACTTGCAAAACAGTATGTAGGAATATTTGGGATGGTATTTTATACAGGAAACAAAAAGATTTAAAAATTTCTCTTAAGATGGTAAAGACATATGTTTTTACARACTGTAAATTTTACTTGCTTTTTCTGTTATGCTGTATTTTACTAAAATAAGTTTCTGCTGAACTGTGTGGAAAAAAGTTGGGTTTCATTTTTACCCTAGGTTTATCACCAGAGCAGGTCAGTGGTCTTCATTAATCAGGGATTTTTTTTTTTTTTTTAAGCATTGAAAAGATTCATATTCCTATTAGCTATAAGAATAATCCTGTTATTACAGTTTAGATTGAAAATATTTGTATAATAAGAATTACCATAACACTTTTTTGTTTTCCATCTTCCTATCTTTAGACTATAGAGGCAAAATTTTAACTGAATATCTGTTTATTTTTTTGTTTTCAATATTAGGCCTCTGATATCTGTGATCCAAACCCTATCATGATGCTTATTTTGTGTGTCCACCTGTATGACAATCTCCCTCACTACATACCCAGGAACAGTATAGACTTTACAGGTGCTCTCCATACAACTGTTGTTAAACAGGTATTGATACCTCTGAATTTAGAACCATAGTAATGCAAGGGTTTAAATATTGTATGTATATATGTGTTTGGATTATGCATATGCTACAACAAAGAATTAATGGGTTTCATGYCATTTGGCTAATTAATATAGAAGATGAAACTGTGCGTTTTCTGATTTGTTTTTCTCTTCTCTTCTGTCTTGGTATTTCACTTTTGCTACTGTTTTTTCCCCTGWGCTTTTAAGCACATGAAAAAATTTACAAATTTGACAAATCTGAGATCAAAGAAAGGAATAAGAGATTCATAAGCATAGGAGTGCAGTATACACTGCAAATAGAGCACRCTGAAAAATTCAGGTTGGATAATAWGTGGGAAATCTATACTTCTTTGGARGRAAAGCTATCTACCCAGTTATTTTCTTATTTTGTGATACCCTTAGTTTATATTTTAGAATTTACCTGGAGAACATAGCTTTTTTGTCTAAAAATATGAGTTAAAAAAGGCTGATGTTGTTGTTTTTGCTGTGGTAGGTGCGTCTGAAGAACCCAAGCCGTAGTAGTTTGGTGTACAATGTTATTCTTGTGGGAAGAGATGCTCGTCTTTTCTCTTTACCTAAAGGACACACTGTCACCATTCCCCCTTTGTAAGTAATGACTTGTTTGTATTATTATTTTTAACATTAAAGAAATAGAAATTTCTTAAATTTACTAATTTAAGAGTGGTGGAACACTAGAAATGTTCACAAACAGGTCAAAATTAATCAGCATAAAGTCAGAATTTTGTCCTGAACCTGGAACAAGTCTAGAGTAATATTTCGGTGGGACACTTGCAGTTCAGYTCAATAGAGCTTCAAGAACAATATGTAATCCTTCAGATCATTACAGGASTCATCTCTCTCCAATATATATTTTTTTCCAATGTATCAGAAGTTTTAATTTTCAGTTTAGACCTGATGTTCTTCATTTTGGTGGGTTCCTGTCCCCCCCACCCCCCAGCTCTATTGGGAATATCTTCTCTGAACTTGATTCACATTTTGTACATCAGTGCATTGTAGAATCATGGGCAAGTAAATTTTTTTATTCTGAGGTCTCAGGTTTTGGTTCTTATTCTTAATCAAAGCATGTCTGGGAATTAAAGGGACCATGACATAGGTTTGAGTAGTATTACAGTGCACCTTTTTGCCCCCATCTTCCTTCCCCACCAAGATGGATATGATGTAGTTTTTTGTTGATCTTACATGTCTGAGAGCCACCTAAGGATTTGGGAGAGGTTTAATTTTGGRAGAGCATTAAGTTACCATTTCTGGTAGCAGAAATACTCATGGTATGTCACCATCTCTTTGTTCAGTAAGTACATTTTGCTCTTTGTGAATACATACAGGAATTTCATTAATCCCTGTTTAATTAGTGAAGAAAAGAGGCATGTAGTGATGACTCTGGCTGTCTSTTAACAGTTTTAAAGTTTATCTGCAAGACATTAATTTACAGAAAAAAATGGATTAGAGATCGTAAAAAGGAAAAAAAAAAAGTCAGGGTTTGTATGAAAATAAACTGTGAAGGAGAAAAAAAAATCAAATGTTGATGGTCAAATTCAAGAAGCCTCACCATAAATACAGTGCTCTTTAAGGACCATCAATATGAAAGTATTAWATTACATGCCTATTATAAATAAATGCAAAGGGAACAACAAATAATGCTGTTTTTAACAAGCTGTGAGGCTGATTTGATTGAATTTTCTTTGCAATTACTTCAAATAAGAGTTATCATAAAAATTTAATCCTTGGAAATATCATGTGTTTCTATGAAAGGTCAATATTAYGGCTGTTTTTCACTTCACCTTTAAAAAAGTACCCCAAACAAACCACAAAACAAAATCAAGACAGGAGAAAATGTGCATAACCTTGTGGTTGAGCTGCTTGGCATTACAGATAGCAACAGATATTTGAAAAATTGCATAGAAATAAAAACTTGTGGAAATGCCAGTCATGCATGGTAACCTCTGCTGAGTTTATCATAATGTCATGATCACTAAATGAAAAATACGTTCTTTGTAATTAATAGCTTTCTTAATATTCTGGTGCAAGTGTTTAAAAAGTCTGAGAATTGATGAGATTTGTGGGCATCTTGGAGGTTCTTTATGTTAGATCATWATGTTGTGGGTGGGTTTGGAAATTACAATAATGTGCATAACGTTCACAGTGTAGCTGAGTGTCATATGTTGCATATGGCATCATTAATCCTTGATCTGAGATTCCTGCTCTCCCAGGCACTGCACTGTGCCATGTACACTTGCAGTTCACGACAGCAGGAACATGAAAATTGTGAGAGCCAGGTTTTCAGAACTTCCAGGATTTCATCAATCAGTCATCGATTCTCAGACAATGTGAGATTTCTTGCCTTCTTAAGACTAATCTCAACATTAGAGAGACATTTCAAGAGCTTCAAAGTGAGAGCTCCAGGCCCTGAACATTTCTTATTGTTCTTACTTAATTGGAGGATTGATGCAAATAAAGTCTTAATTTGTACCTAGTTTAAAACTCTCATTCTATGTGGTCTTCCCTTCTCTTTTCCCATCAGAGAACCTGTTGCTTCTACAAGAATTTTATTTTTTTCTGCCTTTCAGTTACTCAGCTTTCCTAATTATTTTGGAGGGTTTTTCTATCAATATCTTTTTCACTCTTCAATGAGAATATGATTAAAAATATTTAGATCTGTCTCACAACATGAAAAACAGGATATCTTCTTAACTCAGAAAAACATATTCAAATAGTGGAGCACAAATTGAATCAGTTGTTAACTTAGGGTGATACACTAAGGAAAAAGAGCTTTCTGTGCTTGTGTGTGTGTGTGAAGAAAAATGAAGCTATGTGCTGATGTTGCAAAAAGCAATAAGAATTCAGTACTGTTCTTTATCTATATATCTTTTATTAGAATGTTTAAAGGATGCTCTTAGGCAGAAAATTGTACTATAATGAAGTATTTCAGAAGAAACAATTTTTTCTAGGACCCTTCCCTTACAAAGGCTCTGAAATATGCTCCTGACATTGCACTTCTGAGTAATTTCTCAGCCACAGTTTTGTGCTTCTTTTTTTTTTTTTTTCTCCATAGGAAACAAGGATTTGTAAATGTGGAATTCACATTTCGTTTCCTGCACCCAGCAGAAGCACTGTTAATCCTGATGTCAAATAAAGTTGATGGAATACATGGTGCCACACTGACATTCGCTCTGAAATCTGAAGTCAAGTACATTGAGCTTGCTGTAAGTTTGTGTGTATGATTAATATTGTCACAAAAAATGTTGGTATTATGTACATTGTATCAAACAAAAGTGAACTGAGGTAAGAATGAAAATGTCATTTACCGTAAGCATTAGCCTTTGACCTATGAATTTTCAGATTTCCAGTATTAGAAWATGTACATGCAGAAAAAACCCTAGAGGAATATCTAAGATTCCTAAGGACATAAATCACATTTRGATCCTGCATAAATTGTAAATATTTGCATTGGTTTCTCTGAAAATAAATCTGGAGCCCTTTCAGCTATGAATGTTCTTGGAAATTCTGTTATGGAGGTGTTGATGTGCTTCAGCCTAGTGGTTTCAGTTTCACATATCACAATGGACCACAAGCTTTTGTCAGATGTTTCTGAGTTTATTTGTGCCTTTTAAATACAGACACTCTGTAGCTGTCAGATCTGTTCCAGTCAGAGTAGGTAGGCACATGTTTGTAATCCACATTCATCAAGCACATCTGGTTAGATGTCTRAACTTAGATGGTGTTTATGTGATTCTCTCTTTTTTTAGCCCCCTTGACTGTCTTTATACCAGCAGAATAGACACTGATGGTAGAAAGGAAGGTTGGGGCAAAATAAAAAATAGAGGACATGTAGAGATAAGAAGGAAAAAAAGATGATAACTTGATTCTTGTGGTTTTTGTTCTCTTCTAGGGTACGATGAAGTGCAAATCCCCATGTTATGAGCTGGCGAAATTTGAYGTTGATATTATTAATCCCTTCAGAACTGATGACGTATTCAGGTAGACAGTGCTGCTTTAMTGATCATGCTGTTTTATCCACTCTTTTCCATAATTTTCTTCTTCTCCTTATAAAAGTAAAACCTGTAGGTTAAATAATAGGGATTTACATTGCCAAAATTGTTACAAGCACGATGAAGTGGAAGCTATCATAATGAATAAAGAAGATAAATAAGCCTTAATTGAAATCCGTCTCAGTGTAAGCAGTAAAGCTGAAGCTTTAATCAAACAGAGTTTGTGAACCTTGCTTGTAGTTTTGTGTTTGGCTGAGGTCCAGAATAATTACAAAGAGAAACAASCCATGTTAATTAATAGTTGGTTATTTTTTCCCTGATCTGCTTTATCCTGCTGTTTAAGTTATTAAGCATGCAAAAGAGAAAAAAAAAAAGCTTTTGCCTTGGGGCTTGCATCATTATCAGTTAGACTAATTTTTAAAGTMTAATTTTTAATTTGTATTCATCATAGYTGCAGCAACTGCAGAGTTATAAATRTTGCTTTCCTTAAYATGAAGGAAATGGATTGTTGTACCCCTTTAAAATCTATTTATGTGATCTGATTCCATATTTTGTCTACAGTCTGTGGAACTAAGCATTGGTCTTCTCATTCATTTATTTGCAAGAACCATSTTTCACAACATTTTTAACTTGTATTTTTATGCAACATGAATATACATGTTGAAGAAGCTGCAAGTTAAATTTCTTTTTCCCCCATAGAATAGGATTGGAATATCTAAATAATAATGATTGTAGGAATAATACTAATACTACTATTACTATTACTACTACTACTACTACTACTACTAATAATAATAATAATAACAAAAAATAATAAAAATCCTGTAACAGGACTGTTCTCAGCAATATCCTCTGACATGTGGGAATCATATGAGTTTACTTAGCTTCTGTCTTTTTTTTTTTTTTTTTTTTATAAGAACCTTGAAGTGATCAGTGAGGCTGAATCAGTTCTATGATTTAGGGTAACTCTCATGGAAAGTATAATGATGAAGTAATTTAGTTTTATATCTTTGACAACTACCTTAAGTCATTATCAATTTGGATAGCATATGAACCAGTAATCTAAAATTAAAGTTCTTTGTATCATGCTTCCAGTGTTTTTAACAATCCAGTTTTTCATCAGGGGATATATTTTTTTACTTGTAAATAACACTAGAAAATGCTAKTGTGATACCAAGGAATAAGCTATTTTAAAGAAAAACTGAGGTTAAACCACAAGTACTTTTAAAGTATCTTTAATTAAAAATAATAAGCTTCTTTATCACGCCTGCCTCTAAAAGTTAGAATAAATTGAGTTTCATCTTCATTCTGCAATTTAAAAATGCAGTCATTCTGTGTGCTTGTCATGCTCCAGGATAATTTTGCTGGAATCCACACAGTATGGAATGCAGCCACAGAAAGTTTATGAAGCCATGCAAGCAAAGGAAGAGCAAAAGCTTAGGTAAGTCCCAGATAACAATTGCTAATTACAGTATATTGAATCATACAATTCTATTAATATTACCTGTTTGTGCATAGCTGTATGCTACCTGCTGTAAAGAATTACAGTTTAGGACATGGAAATATCAAAGAAGAAACCCAACCAGTCCCTGAGCAGTGGAGGGGCCCTCCTGGCCAGYTCTGCCTGGTTTTGCTGCTGAGCACTGATGTGCTGTGATGTCCCTTTGGCCACTCGAGCTCAGCCATCCTGGCCACTGAAACCAGGACAGTACTGGAAAAAAATTATAAACCAATTTAAAAAAGTTCTTAATTAGTTATTCATTATTTCTTTATTTAATAATTTAAAGTCTTTTCCTCAGTTTGTGTTGTGCAATTTTTAAAACTCATGTAAACATTTAAAATCCTGAAATACTTATTCAAGGATATTGGGAAATATTGTAAMRTACCATCTCRTCARTACCRTAGGTTGAATTGTAATCACAGGGAKAGTCCACAGCCATGWYAYGTAATGCAGAATAATTTTAAAATTCCTTTGTAAAAATTTTGAAAAAAGGGAAAWATTTAAAACCAGAAAAATAATGAACATAATTAAATATTTATATTTAATGTTAAGCAAATGAACATAATTTAATATTAAGAAAAATATATAAATTTTAACTGGAAGTAATTTTCTAAAGTGTAATTTATATTATGCTTTCTACTAAATTAAATAAGTGTGTAATCATTGTTGATACAGAAAAGGATTTTTTCATCATCCTGCATATTTCAGATAAACTTATCCCTAGAAAAGAAATCAGTCTAGCTACTGTAATTTTAGTCATATGCCTAGATCTCATTCTTACTGAAATTGATTTCAGAGCATCTTAAGTCTTTAGAAGTTTCCAGTACTGATTGGTTTATTTTTACGTGTTTCTGTCGTCAGTGATAGCAGAAGCCACTTAAATGCTTCTCTTCAAAAGATCTTTTTCTTGAGTGGAAAAAAGTTCTGATTTTTTTGTTAAAACACTAGTATGTATGTATTTCATAACAGATCAGTAAGAAGATTTAGCCCTCAATCATTTTTATTATTTTGGTAAATCCAGGAAATGTCTTGTACAAATTGAGGCCCAATTTCTCTAAGTGCTCTGTAAGCATAAAACTACCATAAAATCAGTGCTTGCCCTTGGGGTAATTGTGTCTGAGTGATTGATGTCAGGACCAAGGCATGCAAATGACAACTTAATCATCCCAGCACACCCAGCTGGGCTCAGAGCTCCTTCTGCATCCTCATTCTGTGCCTCCAGATGTGTCAGATCCACTTTAAACCTCACTGTTGAAGCTTTGCCTGGCAGGTGATCCTTCTACCCACCAGCTTTCCCCTCTGGCAGTGTCACAGGCACCCAAAATGTTGTCATTCAGACCAGAGAGGACACCAGCCTTTATTCATTGTGGTGTGGGCTGATCACAGTGTGACTGGAAAGATCCCAGTCTGGAGCTCGAGCCCTGAGGAATTATATCCTTGCTGGAACACGGGGCTGTCTAAGCCAAAAAATTTAACTGTAGCCCATGTCCTTTGGTGGCTGCAGGCAWGACCTCTTTATTCATGGAGAACTGGATGGTGTTTGATGAGAAGCACAATAATTTTTTTTTAAATCCAGTTAACTTTTTTATTTTTTTTTTAAATTTGTAAGTATACTGGGCCAAGATTTTCTCAAGTTATCCACTTTTCTGTGCTTTTCCAAGCCCTTGACACTTCAGTTATTATCCTTGGTCTACATCTGTGTGGCAGCATGGTCTGCTCCCTGTGGGCAAAGGAAAACCAGGTGGAGAGAAGCACACCACATGGCCCAGAAATTCTAGTGTAAATCTACCCACAGCTTTCAAGAATGTTGGTATTTTTAAATGATGAGCATTAGGAAAAAAAGGTATCAAATGACAGTAAAAGTTCAAGGTTAGATTTAACACCTAACTTTTCCTCCACAGATTTCCTACGGTAAAACTAGACATTTGTGAAGATACACCAATATTTCACCAATAGTCTTACTCTAAGACCATGACTAAGCAGATTATCATATGTAGTATAGTGTCCATAAGGCTGGTTCATGAKTGCACAAATTGATTTGCAAAACAAGCTGTGAATGTAGGTAAATATTTTTACATTACAAATAAATAATTCTCAAACAAAAAAAAAATGAATGAATTTCAAATCAAGCTCTGCATTATGCATAGCTTCTTACTGTTAAATTAATAATATTTTTTTAACTAGAGRTAATATCAAGAATTCCAAACAATTCCAATTTTCTGAATTTTATTCTTCCACGTTTTGTTCTAAGCTGTTTCGTGTGCCAAAKAAAKAATTATGTTTTACAGAATACYTGTATCTACTTGCTGGAAGARWAAAGAAAAAAAGATGCAAAAATTGWGTCTCTGTGCAATATGAGATGCAGCATTTATACCTGTTGTTTCAGAAAATATGATTTACAAATATGTTATCAGGAGTCATTACCATTCTGCTTAATATTTGATATAATAGAAATTCATCTACTCTAAGTCTTACTGTCTATTTTGGGCAGCTCCTGTTTTAGTTTCTATCTCACCCTTTGTTCTAAGATCAGAAATTGTCCCACAAAGTGTAGAAAATGGTGAATATTTTAGATGTTTATATTCAAATTATTCAGTGTTTTCAACGCATTTCTAAGCAGTTTGTTGTAGCCCTCCTTTCTAATAAGATGTTTACTTACTAAACATCCTAAAGTTCATTGATTAAGTTGCTGCTCTGTGAATTTCAGAGTTTCTTATGGTGTCTGGCACTATTTTTTTCCCCCGGGTCATATATAAAATGTAGAGCTGTAAGGGACAGAAAAGATCGTCTAGTAAATTCTGTTCCAAATACATAAAGGAAAGTAATTTTTCTGATAATTTGTTGGAATGAAAACAGAGTTATTGTCTTGTTTGGAGCCTGAAGAGTAGAGGCACAGCATTACATATGGATAGCTTATATGCCATGATGATATATGGACACTCCCTGTGTGAGCTGCTGAGATTATTTTGCTTTTGATCTGGATTTTTGGCACACCTGATAACATGGCAAGCACAGTGGCTGTGTGGTGTTATGTGACAGCTCAGAGGTAGCAGATGTCAGACTCTTACTGGTGCACAGGTATGGAACTGGGTTGGAACTAGATGATCCTTAAGGTCCCTTCCAATCCAAGCTGTGATTAGAATTTGAACTGGTAGAATAAACCACAGCAAGAATTAACTGGAAGTATTCACACCTCAAGCAGGCAACCTAGAGGTGTTGCCATCCTCACCTATAATGTACTCTTGAACTTTTTGTTCTTTTAATGAACAGTAAAATAATATTGCTTTGTTAGCAAAAAACCCAAAACCAAATGAGGGGCAGTTGGAGAAGTTGCTTGGTCTCTCTCTCTTGTGAGCTGCTCTCCACTTTCCCCCACCCTCCACACTGGCCTTAAACATTAAAAGATCACAATAACTTCTTCCTGAAGCCTTATTTTCTCCAGGGTGTCTTCRTAGGAGAGGTGCTCCAGCACTCTGGCCATTTCTGTGGGCATTCTCTGGAGCTCCTCCAGCAGGTTCGTGTCTTTCCTGTGCTGGGGTCCCCAGATAGATGCAGCTCTGCCAGTGGGGTCCCACCAGAGCAGGGCAGAGGGGCAGAGTCCTCTCCCTGTCCCTGCTGCCCGGGATGCTTTGGATGCAGCCCAGGACACATTTGGCTCTCTGGGCTCTGAGTGGACCTTGCCAGCTCCTGTGTATTTTTTCATTTACCGATATGCCCAAATCCTCCTCCGCAGGGCTGCTTTTGAGCCATTCATTCCACATTCTCTGTTGATCCCAGGGATTTGCCTGACCCAGGTGCAGTGAACAGTCTGTGCAGACTTATTTTATGGCAGCTTTAAGCTCTTCTGCCTAATCCTTTTCCTTATTTCTCTGTGTATTGAAAGAGGATGTATTGAACCAGACTTTGAACACAACCAAGCTTCTTATACCTTCTGAACTTTATTCCTTTTGGTTTTATTATTGAACAAGATGCTATTTCTTTTTGTTATGGAAGAATGAGACACAATGTTCAAGTCTTCCACAACACAGGTTTGTTTTCTTTYCCCATCACTTACCTGCAAGTGCTTTGTTCATTGATGTAAGAAAAAAATTGATATTGAGAGAAGTTCAATACCGTGTTAAATCAGTTTAATGAGTTTCTCTGTTGTTCAGATCTGAAAACAGGACTTACTCRATGTATAATTCGTACCAGGGAAGAAATGTAATGTATTTTTTTTCTATTCTTCTTCCTTTTTTTTCAAAATAGCTTTTTTGAGCTATTTGTTACTTTTACAGTGATTCTTCTGCTGTGGTCTCTGTTTTTGCAAGCATGACTTGGCATTCTCATTCAAAAATAAAGCATTCAGTGAAACGACGTTTTGTATAGAATTTGTATTTTGTTTAATGTGGGATATTTATTTGTTAAGTACAGAAAATATAGTCTGTTGTATGCATATGAATAAGAGATCATTYTCCTTTCTGAAAAATGGTCTTTAAGCATAGGTATTAAAAAAGATCTCCAGGGTAACACATTGTGAGAATTTTGCAATTCCATTTATTTAAGGCTGTGATTTTTTCTTAGCCCAGCAGGATGAACTATTTATTTTAAGAGAGACACAACATCTATCAAACACTGTATGTAATAATTGTTTGGTATATGCTGGTTCATCAAATTTTACTGCTGGGGGGAATGACTTTTATGTGTGGATAATATTAAATCTGAGTCTTGAGCTGAAACTCRCAGTATTTTTTGAGATACATTGCACTATTGTTTTCAGCATATTTGAGCTCTGTGCTTGTTGTAAATTAAGCAAAACTCTTYTTCCATAAATGAAACTGCATAGTCTTAACTGTCATGAACAATGGTAGAAATTACTTTTGAAGAAGGCTAGAAAACAATACAAAGTCAGATAAGAAAATGTGATGGTCAGGAGCACAGTTTGCTTTAGGGGGATGGGCATTCAGTGGAGATTTTGCTCTGTTTTTGTCAAATGTATCTGTTCTTTTCAAATACACTTGAAAAGCAATATTGTAATGAACAGAGTTAAGGTGTTTAGGTTAAAATTCATCCCAGTCTCCTTTCTTAGACAAATCCTTGATTACATTAGGTTTCTTTTGAATGATTAACTGCAATATTAGTTAATATAGGCAATTTCTGTAGCTACCTCAAGTGGATGTTTAAAATTATTGGTAGGAAAATGGTTCCAAAATGTAATGGTTTTGGTGCATTTTTTTTTGTTTTTGTTTTTGTTGGTTTTTTTTTGTTTTGTTTTGGATTTTTTTGTGTATGGTTTTTTTCTTTTGTGTGAGTGGAAAACAATTGCTTTTCCAGTATTTATTCATAAATAGGGAAATAAAGCTCTCTATTGGTAATAGAAATGTCCAGCTTTGGAATATTAATTTAATTTTTTTTGGTTTTTTTAGTTTTCAAAATAACACATTAATTTCAAAAACTGGTGTACTGCCTCAAGATCCAAAGAAAGAGATTTGCTGTAAGTACCTCAGTGCAATACCTCATGTCTCACTACACTGCAATTAGATTATCTACAAAAGCAAGATTTTGACATCTAAGGTATGCTCAGTAAATATTATTCATGGGTATGCCCCATAACTACTATTTTTCATAAAATGTTGGCATTAAATTGTGCATCACACTCAAAAATTCAGGCTGGAGAAGAGAAGGTTACAGGGTGATCTTATTGTGTCTGGTACCTGGTACCTGGAGGGGCTACAAGAGAGCTGGAGAGGGACTCTACAGAGGCATGTACGAGGTGATGCCCTTAAACTGAAGGAAGGCAGGCTTGGATTAGATATGAGGAAGAAATCCTTACTGTGAGGGTGATGAAGCTCTAGAACAGATTACTCAGAGAAATTGTGGCTGCCCCATCCCTGTTCTGTCTATTTGGCCAGAGTTCGGCATAGTTTTATTATGTGATCTCACTCATTTCTGTTGTTTTCACTTTCACATGTATTCTCAAATCTGCCTAGAAAGCCAGCCAGCAAAGCTTGAATGAAAGTCTGGCTCTGCATTGCCAAAATGTGCTTAGCAGATGAAAAACATASAGTGAGAAAGTCAGATGCTGCCAGATTCAACCCTAAGATTCATTCTCAGCATAATTGTGTAGCTTTTGTGAAGGCAGTGCAAAACGTTTAAGTGTGCCAGTCTTTAGGCTTTGTCCATTCTGGGGGATTTCAGATATAGTTGCTCCTCTCAGCCTGAGAGTCTATGTTTAAATACTAAAAAATTATACTTTTCTTTCTGATGTAAGTAAACCTTGTTTTAGAGGCTGTACCTCCTTAAAGAATTTTTAATGGTGATATCTGTTTTCCCCAGTTTTGTTTCAGTGCACAGGATAAGAACACAGGTAATTAGCAAAATGTATTTAAATAATGTAGCATGCCATATTGCAGCACATCTACACAACTGTAACTGTAAATACTGATTACAGGTGTGCCTTAAAAACTGATTGTTGCATGAATCTGTGTCTATTATCCTTATATTTAAACTCATGWAACTACTTTATTTTACAACCTTTGCTTGTGTATCTAAACATCCACTTAAATTTACTTTAACAGCTGATCAGTCTGGCCTCCTGCATGAGTTCTTCTGTCCAATGGAAACAGTACTYGTGAAAGCGAAAGGTTTAACAACTATAGAGATTCACTTCCTTCCCTTTTATCTGGAGAAGCGTTACTGCACTATCATTCTGGCTAATGAAAAGGTAAGAATARAATGAATGTTCTGTGAGCATTTATCATGTTACAAGTGAGTCAGGTAAAAATCAGGGTGTTTGCCAATCTTGTGTGAAAAGGGTTAATGAGAGCGCTGCTGGCCAAACAGCGACAAAAAAGAATAGATACAAAAACACACAAAAAGTGGGTGAAAAAAACAGAAAGAAAGAGGACCTTTATTGTGGGACAAGCCTCTTTTATCCACTTTAGCAACCAGCATATACATTTGTGTCAAACATACATTGGTCAAGAGACAGCTGTTTAATTAATAATCAGAACATAATTGGTGAGTTTGCAAAAGCTACAGTATTAGTAATGCTTATAATTTCCAGCCACCTGCGTTATCAATTCCACATTCCAATCTGCTTTTCTCAAGGATGCGGCATTCCTCCTCCATGTAGGCAGTTAGCACTCCTTTTCTTTTCCCAGGCCTCAGTCATACACAATAATTGGCTGAGTTTCGGAATCAGGGCTTATGGGGCCCCTTTCCCCCACAAAAAGGGACTTGGGGGCAAGGGGAACCTGAGGCAGCAGTGCCCTGGAGCAGGAGGGACATCCCTGTCCTGGGGACATCAGGGACAGCATCGCCAGCCGGGCAGGGAGGGGATTGTCCCGCTCTGCTCTGGGCTGGGGCGGCCTCACCTCCAGTGCTGGGGGCAGCTTTGGGTGCCACAATATAAAAATGCCATGGAGCTGTTGCAGAGTGTCCAAAGGAGGCCCTGAGGATGGGGAAGGCGTTGARGGGAAGCCGTGTGAGGAGCGGCTGAGGGCACTGGGGCTGTTGAGCCTGGAGGAGACTGAGGGGAGCCCTCAGTGCAGTCACAGCTTCCTTGTGAGGGGAGAGGAGGGGCAGGCACTGATCTCTGCTCTGGGGGACAGCGACAGCACTGAGGGAACGGCCTGAGGATGTGTCAGGAGAGGTTTAGGGTGGGTATCAGGAAAAGGTTCTTCATCCAGAGGGTGTCTGGGCACTGGAACAGCTCCCCAGGGCAGGGACACAGCACCAAACCTGACAGAGTTCAAGGAGAGTTTGGACAACTCACGAGGAACATGGGGTGACTCTTGGGGCTGTTCCATGCAGGGCTGGGAGTTGAACTTCAATGATCCCATTGGGTCTCTTCCAACTCAGCATATTCTAGGATTCTATAAAGATACAAATTAGTTATGTACATATTTTAAGGTGTTGTTTTTGCATGCATGTATAATTATATGGAAGTGATCTATATGCTGGGGTTTGTAAATGAAATTTTTTTTTTGCCCCATGAAAAARTAATATTCCTGTAATTCATGGACGATGAAGTGGCCTAAAAAGTKGGTTGGATATTTACATAAGATTACRTGTTTCACCTAAGAAATTTAAACYAAAGTTTACTGTCCYTTTATCTCCACATGATTAGAATTAYATGAAATGCTGCAGGCAACTTTTCACTTTAAAATCAGTAGGTACTAAAAAGTAACACTGCAAAGAATGTTATTTTGGTGGCTTTTCTAAGGCATCTGAGCTTCAGAAAAGAAAAGAAATTTAAATGATTTGTCTTGACGTGGGTGCAAGAATAATGCATAGGCAGGGAATGGATAAAGACTTCACTGTTCTGTACTTTGTGTATTTATCACTGTATTTAGCGTATGCTGTCAAAGTAGAATAATAATTTTCTTTGCTGTCTCTTTTAAAATTTTTCTGTCAATCACAGTTCCATTCAGGAAAGACTGCACATGAATACTGACTCCACAACCTTTCAGTCTCTCTTGACTCGTGTAGCCTGGGTTTTGCCATATATACTTAACTGAAATTCAATCAAATTACCAAGATCTKATTTTTATCAAATGTCAGAACTTAAAACCTTGCAATCCAGCTTTTTATGTTCCTGTGATCCTTTATCTCAGTGGTCACGATCTTATTTCTGTGACTTTAGTCCATCTTTTCATGTCTTTAACCTGTCTGCTGCATTTTGTCTCTGGCTGTCAATATTTTTCAAAAGCCTGTTGTTTTTCTAATCTTCTTTTATATGTGGCTGATGTCAAGGTTTGCATTCTGCTTCATATTTTTGTAACACTGCCTCTGTGTTTCAGCTTTCCCTCTGTGCAATTATATGTCTCTGCCTTTTTCTCTGCCACGTTTATATGATTTGTAACAATGCATCTAAAATGAAATGACTTTTTCTTTTGGTCCTGCACATTCTCAGCTTCCACATTTTTCCCTTTTATAGAWCATGGAACTTCTGCTAGTGTCTGGTGTTTGTATGTTTGTTAGGATTTTTTTATTGTTCAAACATGACTTTGGCTATGCCAGCTGGCCAGCTTAATTTTTTTTTTTTTGTTCATAGAAGAAAGTAAGACTAACTTTAATCACTACAGTGATTTTAGAGCTGTACAATAATGACAGAGAAATAATTTGGCTTTTAAAAATATTGTTTGTATAGCTTCAACATTTTAATCATACCATTATTTAACTCACAAAGAAGTGCACCCACCMTGCTGTTTGATGATCAAATGACTTTACACAATGAGCAGTCTTGTATCTTCAAGTATGGACTYGTGCTATATATGAAATCTAATAAATAATTTAATTTAGCATTTCTGTGATTTCTTCCCACCTACCTTTCCTACCCTTTTTGACACACAGACCAAGATAGTAATCAGGGTAGGTCTGCTCCTTCATTGCAATCAGTGAAGAAGKTGCTGAGATTTAAATCACTAGACTTGAATCTGATTAGGAATCCTATCCATCATTGCAGCGGTGTTCTGTCTGTAATAGCAGCAAGAGAATATTGTGATTGAAGGTTTCTGGCCTCCTCAAGGATGTTCCTGATTTTGAAATAATCTTTATCTTAAATTTTATAAGGTTTGAARTGACAGGATAAGCCATTTATTTCTCAAGGATTTGTTTCAGTATTTCATTGTTCTTTAAGAAAAATAAAAATGGACATTTTTCAGATTTTCAACATAGATCWTTTCATAGAYGATAYTATATATTGTTAGACATAMCTGTGTTGCTTTTTWWAAAATATATMTTTGTTTCTGGGAGCTAATTTAAATGTGAATGACATGGAATTCTTAATGATAATGATATATTAAATCATGGTTTAAGAGTGCCAGTACAGACTTTTACTGCTGGATGTCTAAAATAAATTGTTTTCTGAGAGAACACTTTGCTATCTGTTGCTCTTACCGGTTTGCATGGGCAACAGCAAATTCCTAATAGCTCTACATTTATTTGAAATATCAGTTAGCAATGGGCTTAGAAAAGTAGTTCAAAAGCTCTTTTATTAACTGTTTTCATTAACAGTAAACCCTATGCAATGTTGATGCTGTCCTGCTTGCAGCTGATGGAAAATGGAAATATAAAGCATTAAAGCCATGGGCATACAAGCTRAACTCTCAAAGTACAGTGAAATACCCATTCTGTTCCAAAGTATCGGGAAGAAAGGTCAGCAGAAAGAAAACAGGATYTGCATTCTGTGGAGAGGAAAACCCCAGAATTCTTCAAAGCAAATAGGAAATTAGGGAAGTTTGGTTCTTCCTATGAACAGATTGATGTCACCAAGGACAGGAAATGTAACTGATAGTAGAATGGCATCCTAGCAACCAGCACCTTCATAAAATTAACTGTGTGTGCTGGGAGCTTGTTAACGGCCCTCATGRAGCCAAATCACTGTGTCAAACAGGAATAATTCCTGTTTAAATTGGTTCCCAGAAGTGGCTATTTGTGTGAGGGAATCCAATTTTGCTGTAGGTTCCTTTAATCCTTCTTGAGGAAGATTTGTGTGAGCTCTTGAATCAAGGAAGAGGAGAAAACTCCATCAAAGTTGAATGGCTTTCCTTCTGCTGGGTCAGAAATATAATTGCAGTGTTTTCAGCTGCAAATATATATGTGAATATATTTCATCGTTTATACTATAAATATATGATGAAACTACAAATGAAGGTATAGGAAAAAMCAGGGTTTTCCTATGTTATTGAGCAGTATTAAAAGGAAAACATTACATTGTTTGGCAGATGCACTAGAGTATACAAATAAATTATTTCCTTCATTTCTGGAATGAAGAATAAAATACAGAATATGCATTTTTAGGGCAGAGTTTTATAGAATATGGTTTATAGAAATAAAGAGAGATTGACTATGTATTGTACCAAACGCATTTCAATTCTTTTTATTGCAATCAGTGGAAGCTAAAATTATCCAAAAAAAAGTCGTGGTAAACAAAAAAAATTATCAAAACAATGTTGGTATATATGTTAAATTTCCTGCCTAGTTTGGATAGGTATATGGTACCTAACTAATATTTTTTTAGTCTGTGTCATTCTGATTGTAGGCTTTTTAATTTGGAGTACTTTCAGTGAGTTTTCTTTTCCTAAAAATACTTTTCTGTCTTTCATTTGCACCTCTTTTTTTTTTCATTCTGTCAATAATTCAAAATTTAATTTCTCTGTTAATTAATTTATCCTTTTCTCTATGAAAACCTACTATCTTTCTTTGTTCTAGGTCATGTTTRCATTTACTTTCAAGCTTCTGTAGTTTTTTCATTATTTTTTATGAAATAATTAAGATTTGTTAACTTGATTTCTTTTTATAGAAGAACTTATTTGTGATGCTAACCTGCCTTGAATTCTGTGTTTTTTTGCTTTCTAGAAAAATGTTTCTGGCTCAAAACCATTGTACAGTTTTTTGGTTTTTTTTTTAAATGCTTGATGAAGAGCAATGAAGATTGCTTTTTCACCTGTTTAAATTACACGTAGAACATATTTAGAATTTTTTTATTCTGTATTTATTGTTGTATTTATGAGTCAGGGTGCTCTTACCGATTTAAATTATAAGAAGTGTTGGAAAGAATTAATCTTGTTGAAATTTCTTTACTTTTATGATTTAATATTATCATTTAAAGTTACTTTATTATGATAGCATGGCTTGAATTAATAATTTTCTACTATTTAGGCATAGTTTTTTTAAAAAAAGCAGGTCTCCTGAATATGTAAATATTGCCCAGGTCAGATCTTAGGTATCTTTAGGATATCTTTGTTTTTAGTTTTAATGCTTTGCCATCCGTTCTGCATGGGTTACACTCTGAAGTGTGTGGATGTGTATGTTCTTGTGTTTCAGGTTGGRGAGTTTGTGTGCCAGATCGAGGGAACAGGTGAATTACCTTTGCCTTCACAACTGCCTACCTTCGACAGCCCAAATATTTTRCATGCTACTGCAGAAGGTACAGTGAATAGAAGGGAGGAGAATAAAACAGAGCAAATAATTTTGATTTTGTAAATGTTATTTAGTTTCCACGCATTTTTCTTAAAAATAATTAGGTACGTGTAGTAAAAAAAGTTGTTTAAAGTGAAGTGTAAAAAATATGTTATAATGTAAATATGCAATATTTCTTCTCATGTTTTCCAGTTCATTAATTTCAGTGCATGAACTGGTTGTTGGTGATCTCCATCTTTCTTGTATTGTTTTCAACACAGTCTAAATAAATACTTCTTCATAAATTTTCTTATTTTCTTCTTCTGAATATAGGTTGCTAGCCAGATGAACCAGGACAAGTAATTCCTATCTAGAATTTTTCTATCTTTAAAACACATGAATTTTGTGTGCAGTGATGTGATTTGGCAGATATTCCAATGCTATTTTCTTCAAACAGCCAGGGATAAACTCCTCTCAGTTCTGTTTCAAAAATGGTGTAGCTGTTGCTTGAAATAATTTCTGGTGGTTTCTTTTAGAGGGGATATAACATCATCTAGAGGGGTAAAAGCATGGCTGTGTTGTGTAAGTAGCAGAAATAGTTTGGTAAACTTTTAATACTGTCATAATAGTAGTAACCCTAAAGTGTGGGATGTTTTTATTAGCTTATTTATTAGCTTTATTATATAAATTTTGCTTCCCTATTATGTTGAAAAATAAAGTATATGTTCTAAATGGCATGTACTAGATAATTGGTATGGAACTAAACATTGAAGGATTTTGTATTCTGACTTTTCTTTGCAGATTATAAATTTTAAATACTCTTTGCAGTTCCACCAGCAGCTGACAAATATGGTGTGTGATTTTGTTTTGTTCACCCTTTGTTGGTTTGTTTTAACAGGTGCAAATGAAGTGCAGACAGTTTTATATTTGAAATGTTCCCTTGGCTGGACTCTTGAGGAAAAGCTGAAGATTCCTTTGATCAATGAGTCAAGAGAGAGGGCCCTGGCTGAAGCTGCACAGCAGCAGATGTCAGCTGTTGAGTATAAAAGGAGGTTGATGACAGGGACTCTGCAGAGCAGCAGCGTTCGAGTTGTAACTGCACTGCTGGGCTTGTCCAGAGTAGAGGTGAGAAACACAGTTATCCAGTGCTGCAATTAAATTTAGTTGTTCTTGATTTGTAGGACTGGCTTTTTTATGTTTCAGGAAATAGTGTGAATTTATGCTTTTTTCACACATCTGACAATCACTAATCCCAGTTTGCTCAGACACTGCAATATTTTATGTGTTCATTCTGAAGTTTGTCACTCCATGCTTGTGCGGAGTCCTTCCTTTAAGAAAACTTGGCTGCAGTTAAAAAAGCACTAACATTTTACATAACTTATGAAAAATACCTATTGATTAAAAAAGCTTTCATATCAGTAATAGGTATCAGTATTAGTATCTTTCATTAGGCATATTTTTGTAAGAAATGGGATTTTTTTTTCAAACCATTTGAGAATAAATGAAGCAATGGGACAGGTTTTTTCTTGTCTTGCAATCAATGCAAAATAGTTTTGGAAAATGACAAGTCTTATTAATAAGATATATCTTCCCCCTTACACATCATTCTAACCTATACATACTTACCTAAAATTTCAACATTTAGAAGCAAAAATTCCTCCAGAGGTACTCCATTAAACCATCGGTTATTACTTGTGAATAAATTTGTAACAGTAATATTGCCAAATAAACAAGGCTTTTTCTTTTGAAGAATTCAAGTTTTACCTCCTATGTATGATAGCCACACATTTTTAATTTCCCTTGGGCCCTGATGTTGTSTGGCCTCAGACAGATTGTTGGGCAGCAGTGTAATTCCAGTTTTCCAGTTAGACAGTTTCCTGAGTATGGCTCCCAGTGCTGAGGAAAAGAATTTTCCCTCGTGAAATGATGTTGCTAAATTTATGCCTTTAAAAAAAATAATATATAAAACAAATAAAATGAGGAAAACTTATAACTTTAATCTCTTGTGTGATTGTAGTGGGAAAACAATTGTAATCATGTCATCTAGGCTCAAGTGGTTTCCTTTGGGATTATGGCTAATCCATTGCTGCGGTAACATTTTGTTGACTTTTCATAATTGAAGTCCCTTAATATCACAGTCTCTTAGCAAAAATGCTTGATGAAAAGTCTAACTGCTCTGAAGTTGTGCATGGGATCAAGAAAGAATATAATAGGAACACTCCTTGCACCACTTGACATGCTAAGATGCAATATGAGTTCTAAAACCACATGTATTGTGGAAGAGTGGAGGCTAATTGGCCTAATTATGTTATAAAACATATATCGTGGGTACTAGCACTGAATAAATTATCATGTGAGAAATTAAACTAATATGCAGAAAGTACACACATACTTGTTTATGTCAAATACAGGGGAGAAGTTGTGCTACATATTGGCATGGAAAAGAGTACACATTAAAAATATCTCAATATCTACTATGCAGACTAAATGATGAAACATATTCTTAATAACTTTTTGTAATAAATTCTTGCCACTGTTTAAAAGTGACAGCAGAGAAATTCTGGTGACATTARCTGTAGAAACTTTTTTTGAGTGGGGATTGGTGTTACACAGTCAAATTTGGAAGTATGGTTTTAGGCGGCCTAAATTCTCCCTTTTCCCCACAAGGACAAAAGAAAAAAAAAAAAAAGAAAAGAAAAAAAAGCCCATCCACAGCTCCCAAGGTTCAATGTATTATTTAGGCTTATTAAATCCTCTGGGACACATGATGTAGGTTAGTGATAAATCCAGAGTCTTTGAAAACTTTTTATTCTCTTTTGGATTTCTATTCCACCTTTCCACTCTCTTCCTGCCGGTATAATCATGTTAGACAATAGATGGACAGAAGTGGAAATACCCTTTCATTAGTAATATTTGGTCCATTTTTTGACTGTCAAATTGAAGAATAAATAACTAAATAATTGCATGCTTTCCAATCTTTCTGAACTGTAAATTTTAGTCATGTTTACTTARGTCAAATAGAAAACAGTAATAAAGGTGGGCTGTGTTTTTGGAGTCAAACTGGATATACATAATCAGTAACTAGTGTTGTAATTTTTTGCTCAACCCATCTTACCCATGACAGAAAGTCCTAGCTCCTTTTGTGCTGTGTTTTTACTGTTTCTTTTCCTTTCTGTAAGGAGCAAAAACCTATTTTGATTATTTTAATGATTAGAATTATTAAAACATAAAATAATTTTCTTTTTCCCATAAAATTGTGTTACTTTCTTACCTTCTGAGTGTTTCTTTAATTCCTCCTAAAACATTTTCAAGTAATAGTAAAGGTAAATAAGATAGAACTCTCAGGCACTGTTGAGGTTGGGTCTGGCACTATTGTGAATAATTAACAAAGTTGGTTTTGTGAATAATTTGTAATGATGAATCAGAGAAACCTGAAAGGGAGAAGTTTAGGTGAACACAAATAAGGAAAGGAAGAGGATATCTGGAAAAAAGATAAGAGACTGGAAAAGAACATATTTAGATTGAAGTCACTAATTTTAGTAAATAGAGGAAAGTGGAGAAAAGAAAAAAGAAATAACAATGAGAATTCATTCACTTGGGATTATGAGGGGATGGATGCTGCAGTCAGTGGAATGAAATTCAAGATAATGTGCCTCATTTTAGACTCATAGTCTTCTTCATAGTCATAAATGGAAGTAATCTACTCATTTAACTGGACATTATGATGGCTGAGGAAGTCCTGCCCTACAAGAATTCCAGAGCTAAARCTTGCACTTTCACTGTGTCCCAGATGTGCCCTTATTGTTAAGCTGTTAAATGTATTTACTTCAGGTCCGCTTTGCTTCATTTTGAGCACATATCTCATCTGAATGTGGACACCACATTGACCATATTTGAGCTGTTAGGACATTGTGCATTTCCTTTCTATCCTGCTGTCCATGTGGTCAAACAACATGGAGTGTTTTTATCTTAGAACACCATAGTGGTGTTGATGAGTTTTAGTTTTGGTCAGAGAAATGAGCAGGGACCTTGTGCATTTGGGGCTGTGGCTTTGGCTGAGATGGCAAAGTCTCATCCTACGCCTGCCCAGCTGGGATTTTCAAAGTTTGTGCTCTTATAGGACCCCAGAGATCAAGAAGGGTTTTTTTGTTCTTCTATATCATTATGGAAATTTGTACACTCAGTGTAAACATTTACTTTTTTAAAATGTGGGTGTGGGGGTTTTTTGGAGGAAGAATCATGGAGCAGAGAAGATACTGGAAATAAAAAATTGCATTAAATACATTTGAGTGGGAATGAACTTTTCACAAAAAAACCTGTGGTCAGATTTCAATTTGTTGAATTTAGAAGTGGGACCAATGCCTTTTATATTACATCACTTATCTTTTGGTGTGGGATTAAGGAAGATGGCAAACACGATTGATCACAGGGGCTCTGAGAGACTCAGATAATAAATTTCTTTATTCATGAGGAAAAGTTTTAGAAGTTAACTTCTGCAAGGAAGAAATGGGGCTAAATTAGGATTTGAAGAAGAGAAGTATGCAAGGAAAGAGAGAGGKGTCTCAGCATCCTGTAACAGAATCTGCCACCTTTCACACAGAAAGTGCAGGTGGTTCATCTAAGAAAATACCTTGGAAAGTCAAACAGTCTTTGAAAAATATCAAGTTTAATCCTCATGCTTTATATGCCCTCTATTCATTTTTTCAAAATAATTATTCAGAAAAAGTGRTTAATCCTGGGAACTGAATGCAAATGCTATTCTTAGCTGGTAATAACACTTCCACAGTTGGACTATCTCAGGCTGATTGAATTAGAARTGTTTGGAATCTGTCTTTTTGTAACAGAGCAACCTTAGACCTGCATTGATATGAGAGTYAAAATATATTAAATTCCATTTAACTCTCACTGCCCAGAAAAATATTAAAAATTGGAGCAGTTGCAACATTTATCTGAATTGTGTTGACATTTTCTCTTGGAAATGCTATCTTCTGAGGCAGCAGATCATCATCATTTGTATGTATGCAGAATTTTCTTTTTCCACTAGTCTCTCGTTAAAAATGTTTTCAACCTTTACTTTTTTACATGATTCCAGGAAATATTTGAAATGTTCATAGAATGTAATATTAACCAAATGGGTTTTCCCCAACATATTTAAAAATGAGATAACATGAACAAGGATCTTAACGTATTTCAGTGATTTTTTAAATCATATCTCTTCAAGGTAATTATAATGTAAATGTGTTCAGTGCTCCACCAAAGGTCATCCTACACTTATTTTGTTGATTAAGATTTAACAAAACTGTGTAATCATGTTGCATTTTTTTCAGTGTTGGGAAAGAATCTAGTTATGTAAATCGTGTGTAGGTATAAATTTATATTTGATTTTGCAGAAGATCAAGTCAAATTTAAACTGGTAAATGTATGTAATTCTTTGGTTAGGAACCTCCCATTACAAATGAGAATGAATTTTTTTTCCCACTGCAAAGTCTCCTGGTATTTCCGTCCTATCAGAGAGAAGTGGAATTTGCAATTAATATGGCAGTTGAAGTATTTGCACTGATTGATTTTTAAATTCATTTTCTGTGTATGTGTGAGTAATGTCAAGGTCCAGTCTTGTGTGATAGGAATTAGCAAACAGTGAGCTCAGATTTTCAACTCACTCACTCAAATTTTTCCTGCTCCTTCTATAAATTATATTTGCACCATACAAGTTGTGCAAATACAGCAATACAAGAACTATCCTAACAATTTGGATTGATGTGAATTTTTTTTCTGTCAAATACATCTGTCCAGTTGCTCATAATAGAAGAATTTTGAATAATGATCAATTTCTATATTAATTGTGCTAAACCCCCTATATTCTAAAATAATTCTTGGTTTTTAAAACAGTCAATATGTACTTWGTGTGTAACATTATATTGACCCTATAAAAGAATAGATTAATGGTCAAAACAAAGCAATGCCAGAGTGTAGATCTGCTTTCAGAAACCAGCAAGGAAATGTGAAGCTTGTATTAAAACAGAAAAAAAAAACCCAAAAAACAAAAAACCAAAAAAACCCCACCACCAGCTCAAAGCAGAAGCCAAACCCAGTTGATTTAAATGGTAATTTGACCCTATTACACCTAATAGCAATCTKTAGAATAATTGCTGTTCCTTTTAAATTCTGTTTTTGGGACAGACTGTGATACCTGCTCTCCTGGCATTATTTTAAATCGATGGACTTTGAGAATAAACAGTTTTCTTAGTAAAACMTGAAAATTTCTGTATTTATCTCCTCCCTAGATTTGCTTCAAGATAATTCACAACAGTCAATAATTCAAAGCCTCGTCTGTAAAAAAGACATTTAATTTTGTTCAATTTACAGTCGCTCTTGAACATTGCAATTATACTGTGTTATTGGATTGAGAATGGCAATTCTGAGCAAGTAGAGTATTAAATCATTACATTATTTTTGGAATATTATCCTACAGGAGTCAAATTAAGTTCATTAAGAGGTTCAGATGCCTATATTGAGCTTGCCTTAACATACTGTGCTAATCCTYTACTAATATGTTTCATGCTGTTGATTAGCAATGCTTTTCACCAAGAGGAGGATCTTACTTGCCCCTAGAATTGTTTCTAAATGCCTTAATTTATGAAATACATTGTCAACATTTAAATATCAGTTAGCTTAGCTAATAGTTATCCCTTGCCAAAATAGCAAAATAATTTTTCTTTTTCATGCTTCTTATTATAATAATAATACTCAGAAACTCCATTAGGTAGAAGAAACATCTTTCCATAAATTATACAAAATATGGTGGGGTTTTCTTTTCCCTTTTCTTGCCTTTCCTGAATATGCATAAAAGACTAGTAGAGTTTTTTTCTGGTTCAAAATATATTTTTCTTAAAAAAATGTTTCAGATGCATGTTACATCCATTTTAGACATTTAGTTTACATCTATTTTAGATATTTATGTCTAAAAATATTTTACAAGACAGTTTTTATTTGGAAGGATGAGTCAAAACTCTGATGTTAAYGTGCTTAATTACCAATTCAATTTTAGAATGACATCTATATAGTTTTGCATTTCTTAATAATTATATATGATTGTTCATGTGTTTCCATTATTGCTTCACTTGCAGAGACGTGCACTTCTGGAACCTCGTAACCACCCCCCAGGGCTGAAGTACGTGAATTACAACGTAGAATTGAGCTTCAAAGAATTCTTTGAAGTTCCTAAAAAATTCTCTATTCCAGTGTTGGCTTCAGCCAGAGTTAATTTGGAAGATTCATCAGCCTTTGGCCCTGCATCTCAGAAAACAGGTAATAGTCTTAAAGGTGATGAGTTTAACTATATTATTTTGCTAAGATAATCTTTATTTTTAAGGTTTTTCTGAATATATCCAGAAAATGATCTTTCTCTCCTTTCTRCTAATGATGAACTTTGCCTTTTTTRTCACTACCCAGGTTCTACATATCAGCTCAAACCAGTGCCATTGGTTTATTGGTTTTCTCAAAGGCACACAAGCACAGCAGACTTGCTCTTAATGACAAATTAATTTGGTCTGTTTATCTGAAAGATCCTGAATTTGTGCTCCCTTCCCATTTCTCCCTTCCACTTCTCATCCAGCACAGGTCTGTGCTCAAATTGTGCCACTCATATCACATCTCTCTTCTTCTTTGCTCTCCTTGTTAGTCAGAGGGAGATTTCAGCTAATGGTGTCCCTYATCAGTGAAATAGTTGTGCATTAGCTTTCAGAGTGATCTTGCCATCTTTGGTCACCCTGTTGTCTCTAATTTTTTTACTATCTTAACCTTTATACTGAAATCTTGTTGACCTTTTAAAATGCTTTATTTGAACCTATAAAGCACTCTACGTTGCTTTTCTTAAAAAAACCCACAAGTTGAGCAGTTGAGAGAGTTGGGGTGTTTAGCCTGGAGAAAAGGAGTTTTACAGGGGAGCTTCATGCAAATTTAATAGACACTTGAATTATAGTCCATATCTAGTTTTGTATCATTAGTTCTTTTCTTAATCAAGAGAGTCCTTCTGCATATTTCTGCAGTTTATTTCTCCAGGTGTCACTGAAATCAGCCGTGTGATTTCATGGTGTTTGTTTTGATGCTTGTATATCTTGTATTTTTGTTTCTTTTCTGGAATAAAAAATAAAGATTTTTTTTTTCTGACAAATCTTTATTATAGATATATTCTACTTTGATTGCAGTATCTGTGCTGGTTAACTGAGCAGTTGGCAGGTCACTGTTGTTTAGCAACTTCTCAAAATATTTTGAAAGTTGAAATGTGAATGAATGTATATGAAAAATTTAGAGTATTAATTATATTGTATACACTGCACAAATGTAGTGACTAAACTGCATTATAGTAAGGAAGAAGTTATTTTATTCTTAGTTCATGTTGCTTCTTTATCAYTAAAAGGACATTAAGCAAATACTTGAAAGAGGAAAGTAAACAATGTAGATTCAGCAATAAAATCATACATCAGTGTACATATATTTCTTCTTTCTATGATGCTTAATAATTRCATGTGGAAGTGGAAATGTCAAGGTGATGCAGAAAAAATAAATGGGGCTTTTGAAGTGAATTCAGAGAGRTGGTCAGGTAAAGAACATCTAGAAAGGGAAGCTGTGATAACCAGCTGATAGCACAGAAACGAAGATTTGTTCCGGAGAAAATGCTGGCTAATTCAGTGTATTTATTGTACCAATGAGGAAACACAGGAGTATTTACAGGCTCTCAGAAAGTCTGATATTGTGACAGAAATCCCCAGCTGGTGTTCCTGTGGACAGAGGCAAACCATTGATCTCATCTGAAAGTTTTGACATCATATCTGAAGGAGCAGCGGTATTTTAGCCATGGTGGTAGCTTTCCTCAGGGTGGGAATAGCTGCTTCTCTGAAGAAATGTCAGAGYGCTTAGATTTATGAAGAAAAACAAAGGTGGAAGCAAGCTGACTAAAATCAATCTTTGGATCAGAATTTSTTATATTGCCATAGCAGGAAGTGTTGTATTTCAATATTTTAAGAACTCTTCCAACAGGGAATTAGAAGGTAAAAATCAATGCCACTGAAAACGTTTTCTTGTAAAATAGATCTTTTTAAATGACCTTATTACATTTTTGGCAGTATTACAGAGCAAACAGATAAAAAGAGTAGAATATGTTTACCTTACTTCCAGTGTGAGATCTTGATCAAAACCCATACTGCAAACTTGCATAGATCCAAAATAATACATTTCCCACATTGAAAACCGCTACAAATGTTGTTAATTCATTACTGRAGAGTCTCCAGAAAGGGAGTCCTTGGTTACCAGCACTTATTGTACAATGTTAACTACATTTCAGTGATTTAGAAGATTATACAAAGATTTTTTTTTTAGTTAGGAATGACACAGATTTTGTGAAAGAAGTTTGTTGTAACTGTTTCATAGTTATAAACTATTAATTTTAGTGCAATCAAACATGTTGTAGTATGTGGAACAGAGTCTCCAAGCTAAACCATTTGATATGTAAGATCATGTCACATACCATGGTGGTTGTTCACCTTTCTCTCAAATAGGATCTTTAAGAGCTTTAGTTTCCCTGTACCATCAGAAATAGCCTGGGAAATAATTCAGTCCCCATTTATAGCTCAGGAGAAAAATAATTGACAGTAAAACTTCAGTGCTTTACAAAGCAAAGAATAGTGGATTGAACATTTACAAAGTCATGTTAGGCATAATTGAAAAATGTTGCAACATTGAAATAGATTGCCTTTTTCTTAGAGGTGTGTTGTGAAGGAAATGAAAAGGATAAAATATCAAGTGGAATTAAAACAATGGCTTCAGATTTTAGCAACAGAGAAGTAGCATCCAAAACCAACTCCACRCTTCACCAAACTAACAAGTTCCTTCCAAAGCTGAAAACACAAGAAACTTTGAATAGAGAGGTTTTATGGCTCAGAGTTGTAACTTGATAAATATCTATCTGCTTTCATATATTCTGCACACATTTAGGATAAAGCAATTATTTAAATATTAGTACATTTTGGTGCAATTTTACAAAGATACATGCTTTAAAATTTTTTATTTTCCTTGCCACTGTAACTGACTTTGTGATGCATATACATCTTTATAATCTTTGTAATTATTTAAGATTTCCTTCCATGCAGTCTTATTTTACAAAACTGTGTCTGTGTAGATAACTGTGCTCTCCCTGCGGGTAAGGACCATGATTGGTAGGTCAGAGCTATTATATTATCTCTGCTGAATAGATTTTATAAGCATTTTATCTGTTGTATATTTTCTGGTCTTGTCTAGCAGCACAACACCCACTGTGGCTGGGAAAGAAGGAAATGGATTTTGTAAAAACCATGCAAAAGTCAGTGCTATTTGTCTTTTCAGCAGTTAATGAAAAATCAGGTTTAACAAAGTTTTGACTGAGCAGAACATTGTTCTGAGTAGTTGAGTTCATTTGAAAAATGTGGATTTTATGCTAAATAGTGTTATGTATCAAAGATGAAATAACATAGGTAGAAAGAGGAAGAAGGGTTTCGTTTTGCACTGATATCTCCCAAAATGTTTGAGAAATCTGCAAAGCAGCAGAATACCAGTCTCACAATGTGAACTAAAGCTGTCAGCCTTTCTTCCCACTCTGTTTTTCTGGCTTCAGCCCCCTTGTTCTTTTATCAAAGGAGTTGTTGTAAAATTTTGAAAAACAAGGATCCTTGAATACATAACTGAAAAAATGCAGTGCAGGTGTTGAAAAGTGCTATTATTGTATTATGAAGGAGAATATGATATTGGAACAGTACATCCAGTTCTCATTTCCACACTTTAGAAGGAAGGTTGCAAATGAGGAAGGGTTCAGCCAAGTTCTGTAGCAATTTTCAAGGTCTTGAAAGATTGAATACTTTATGTCTCCGTGATCTCTGAGRGAAAGAGAATCTGTTCAGGTTACTTGTAATTATTTAAAAAGGGAAAAGATGTGTGACTATAAAGACTGTTAAGTGCTCTATTCAGAAAGMACAGCACTTTCTAAATAAGACAGAGATTTGTAATGGAACAATTTATGATACCTGTAAAATTATGTAAATGAGAGGTGTATTAAATATGAACAAACTCAAGAGAAACAAAAAACTTTCTACTACTCAGTCTTTAAAAAAAAGAAAGTGGAAGCCTTCCTGAGATACACACTTTGTCTCCAATTGTTGGGTTAGGACTTAAGATAATAATTATTTGGTAAAATTCTAATGCTAAGATAAACTCCAATAATATGTCTTTTGGTATTCCATAAGCATTTATCCCAGATTTAGGAAGGCCTGGAATTTTCTGGAATAGGTTATATCTTTATTATAACATGACACTGACATTTGCTTTGAGTGATGGAAACATAAAAGTTCCTGAGACAGAGCACCTCACACAGCTGCCTGTGACAGTTCATTGATACTACAGCATCCAAATACTCTATAGAAAAGGCTTCCTGTTTATTTGGTTTTCTTCCTTTCAGACCGTTTGTTTTTGTTTTTGTTTTTGTTTTGTTTTTTTTTTTTTTTTTTTTTGTTTTGCAATCTTCTGCCTTGAATGACTTTAGATTACCACTTGTACTATTAGCAGGAAACCTCATAGCAACACCCTTGGACTAGAAATTTTTTAAAGGAAAGAAAATATATGGGAGTAAGTGATTGATAGCAATAGCTGTTCTAAAGCATTGCAGCAGCACATCAGTACTATCCATACCTTATATCTTTTAATATTTGAATACAGCTCTGCTCATGTAATGATAAATACACAAATATTTTCCATGAGTAATGATAGATTTATGCAGTTCTATAAGGTAATGGTAGATTTTAATTTTCAAATGGATATGCACCTAAGCAAGAATGTCCTGATAAACACTTCCTGTATTTCATTATCATGTACATTATTGAGTTTTTCTAAGCCAGGTATGCACTGGGAATGCTTTTTGTCATGCCATATGGCTTAGGTTTTTTCCTAGTTTATAAAAATAAACATGAAAAAACAAAGAACTAAAACTTTTTTTTAATGGCTTTGTTGTACTATTTCACATCAAAATTGTCCAGAAATAAATAAAAGCTCACACATATTTTCAATGAAAAATGTTATTCCATCTTGCTGATCTTATTTAGATTCAGTATCAAAAGATAATATTAAACTTCTGTTGCCTCTTACAGGATTTGACCGTATTGGCTTCCTGCTGTTATAGTTGCAAAGAATATCCAAGAAGAGTTCTCTTTTGTTTTTCTTTCCTCCCTAGTGAATGGTGAAAAGTCTTTCTCTAAAGAACTATCAAGAATTGTTAGATATTTGCTGCTTTCTCAATAATTGTTCGTAGAGTTAATTCATTCAGATTGTTCTAAAGTGCTTGTGAGTATTTTTCACAAATATTAGGGGCAATGACTATTGAACAACCAACTCCCTACAACTATTTCATTGTAGTGCCACACAGCTCCTCACTGGYTCCTCACGGCTGCTGAGTATTCATAGCAAGATATTGAAAAGAGTGTTCCCCATTTCCATTTTAGATAAGTCAAGGAAAACCTGCTCTCACTCTTTTTTCCCCGGTAGATCTTCCTTTTCTGATGAAATGTATTTAACTATTTAGATATGTAATGGTTGTTTAGATATGTAATGGTGTACTGTATTTATATGGGAAAAAAGGAACAAATAACCAGTTAGTAGGATTTTTTTGGAACTCTTCTACAAATCTGTTTTATTAAGATAAGAAAATCAGCAAATAAACACACACAGAGGCAGCAAAAAATAGAAAATTTATCAATAAGGGATATAAAAGAGCAGTTGTTTTTTCAAAACTACTGTGTCAAGTGATTTTCTAATTCAGATGAGCTCATTTGAAAGCCTGATRTATAAGCAGAAGTCAGAAAAGTCTRGCTCTTCATTACAGTTGCTGATTTAACCTTCTACGAGTCCATACCTGCAAATCCAGTCTTCAGGGTAATTTAACCCCTTGTTTTTGTGACACATACAGAGTGTCAGAGGCTGAGGTAAGTTCAGTGAGAAATTCAGCTTTGCAGTTCTGAATACATAGAACTGTCATTGCTGAACAAAAGCTAATATAATGTGCACTTAGTTGACTAACTGCTGAAGGCCCCTACTTTCCTACCTTCAGAAATTATGGCAACAGACTGGGATATGGAAAAGTGGCATTTCTATTTTTATTCCCACAATTTCTATTTCAGCCTCCCACAATTTGTAATAAGGCTAAACAGTGATTACTAAGGGCCATTATTACTGCCTTACAGGATACATTTTTTTCTTACATTTTAATGTCAAAACAACTGTCACTACTTTTCTTAGAAATGTTACTGTTTGTTGGCTAATGCAGTTAGAGGACTTGCTTTAAATTCAGGCCCRTCTAAAATGATAAATTGTAAGATTTTTAAGAACCAGGAGAGATGAACTTTGTTAGTTCCAAGTGGTGATCAGATTATTGTTTTTTTACAATTAATAAATGGCACAAGGTACCAGGCAGTTGCAAGAGAACGTGACCAGTGCCTCTGTGCTGTAATTTAATTTTCCAAGAATGTGTGGTTAATATTGCACAGCAAAAGTTTAGTTTTTGCAAATACTCCTCTTTGGACAACTGTCTCACAACAAAACCCAATATGATCGAGTGAATGTTTTCTGTGGGCATTTGTCAGACGTAAATCTAGAAAATAAAACTGTCGGCTCATTTCCCATATAATGTTTCACTGGCAAACAATAAATATCCTGTGTAGGGATGGAAACTGTAGCAAAGCCCTCTATTGCTCTGCCTGACTTTTCACTGTTGAAGAAATGCTTGCAGCCTGATTCTTTCTGATGGATGCAGGCTCTGCTTCCTGTTAAGTGGAAATCAAATAAATGATGCTCATGACTTACTGTTAACACTTTTGTCTCAGGAATTTTTAGGCCAGTTGTGATCCCATGGATTATGTTCATTAAATCTTTGAATATATCCCTAGAATAATCTTGGTTGAATGTCTTATGAGATTGAGAGAAGAAAACAAGCTAAGCTGAGACATTTTCAAACCCAGTTTACTGTATGGTATTTAAAATCARCATGAAAAAGATTTTTCAGGGGAAAAAGTCAATCTTTACCTATAATTTGAAGACAAATTATATCTGATAGTTGTTTCAATTTGGAGAAACCATGTATTATTGCAAAAGATATTTATCATGTTAAATAAACCTAACCAATTTACTTGCTTTCCTTTTCATTCATTGTATTTTTGAGCTTAATATTTAAGCAATTTAACTGACTTATTCTTAAATGTGTTTTTTTAAATCCATATAAACCAATTTTTTACCAAAGTAGAGCCATATTAATTATTATAATTATGGAATGTACTTTTCWTKTTTTTTCTTTTTAAATTTTTCTATAATAGGAGTTTCTGATTGAAAATGTGCATTTCAAAAATAGGTCCAACTCCGGGAAAAATAACCCTAGTTATTAGTAACTGAAATTTCTATTTAATGCAAGAAAGTAAAACTCAGGCAGAAATATTTTTGATCTTTCAGTACACTGTATTATCTTTCTTAAAATACGCATTTAAACATCTCCTTTAACTTGAAAAGCAAGTGTTTAAAATGTGTACTTTAAAGTAAACATTTTGTTTCAACAGCTTTAAATCTTGTGAACAGAGACTGTACCAATGAACTGAAAAATGGAAAAGACGGTTTAATTCCCTGCATAACTGACAAACTCAGGCACTCCTGTGGAAGATAGCCCATGGGGATAATAACTCAGTGATAAAATAGAAAAAAATAGTAATAATTAAAAAAATATCAGGCCATTAATCTTGTCTTTAAAAGAGAACAAACTAATTATTTCAGAGAGGGTTAAACCTGAAGTGCAATTTATAATATTTCTGATAGTCTACTAATGTTGAAAGATGAACAGTGTCACTGCGTATGATTTGTCTCTTGAACTTGAGGGTTTTTTCCCCTGGAAAACCTGAAGKCATGATGACATAAGGCTAAAAAAAMCTTTATTTGGGTGCTCATTTTCAGAAAGGTGAGTCCTGAATACATGAGGAGCACCACTGGGTGGAATAGAATGAGCAGCATTGTAAATGAATACTGATTACACTTTCAAAATTCAGTAGTTGTCATTGAAGATATCAGAATAGTTTGAATCTAGTTATAATACATATAATCAGAAAATAAGCCAAAATTTGGCATAGAAAAAAGTCTAAAAAGTTGTCATGAAAACTACTCCCTGTAAGTTATTGTTGGGGATAGTGAGCAAGTATACTACCCCATCACTGATGTCTCTGTTAGCTGTTGGCAAAAGTGTAGTAGCTTGGATACTTTTAAAAATATTTGCAGAAATTAAAGTATGTTAAAGTCTTCTACTAGATTTAAGAGATCTTGAAAAATACCTCTGTCTGTGTACTTTCAAAACCAACAGAAAATATATAGTGTTTTTTTTTTTTTTAAAAATAAATTTAATAAAATATGTTTTTTAGGAAACTAACTTATATGGTAACACTCCTAAAAATTCCACTGTTTCTTTGAAATTTTTGCCTGTACTGCTGGGGAGACTCCCCTATAGTTTCTTAGAAACTTCTTCAGATGCTGCTTGTGAATTCAATGTTTCTGAAAAGCTTTACAACCTCACAAATTTTTTTGTTTGTTTTTTGKTTTTTTTTAGGTATAATTGATACWGTTGAGTTCCCTATAAAATTCACTCCTCGTCGTGCTGGTTGCTACCGCTGCCAGATTATTCTCAAGTCCTCCTATGATGTTCGTGTCTATGAGATTGAGTGTGTGGTGCATGCAGAGCATGCTGATGCTCAGCTTGAGTTTGTAAGTCCAGCTTACCAGACGGTGACTCAGGAAATTCCAATTGTAAGTTCACTCTACGACTGCAAACAAAACCTAGATTTAGGATTTAAAAAAAACTGGATTGCGGATCAATGCTGTCAAAATTTACAGTTCTGAAATGCAGAAATGTGTGTAAATACTGACTTGAGCATTATTTCTCAAAGTCCATGTGGGTGATAATATAAAGCTTATTGGAAAAAATAATTTACTTCAAATTACTTACTATTTTTATGGGCTTAATTCTGATATTTCTCTGCTGACAATCATTGGTCTATTATCTAATGATGTTATCATGATGAAAATGAAAAAAGTAAGTATTTAATCTAGGGAATAAATATGCTATTTCTGAAGAAAAAAAGAGATGCTGAGCAATGAAATAGAAGAACAAGATTACATACAGCTAAAAAATGTGGCAATAGACAGTGTGTTTCTACGTATGTGSTTTTAAATGTCATGCAGGGAGTCATGCTTTTATACCTTTAAGTCTTGCACATTTTCTTAAAAAGTAAGTAAGAAGTACCCCAACAGGAGCATATACTCTGCCTGAGAGAGAGGAAATGTGTATGTGTTAGTGTCTCTGTGAAATGCAAATACATGGTCAGCAAATATCACTTATGTGGCCAAAATGTTATGCCCTAAAATTGCAGCGTCAAACATCAATAGACAAACAAATATAAACATGTAAAGTTGCTCCTGTCTTTTTACATCCTAGGCTTAATTTTGTAGCTATACATAATTTTTTTTCACGAGCTTGCTTTCATGTTCTGTATTAGAAACGTGTGTTATTCTTTTTAAGAGTTAAATACTTTACATTTCAATGTACACTCATTCTAGCTTGAGCTTCTCCATCTATCAGAAATTTTCCCTTTTTTTCACATAATATTGTTTATGATCAATATTGTATTTGTAATTTAAGATTTTCAACTTTGCAGTATTCCATGGAGAAAGACATGCTTATTGTGGAAGTGAGGATGGGGTTGTTCAATCTGATAAATGTAGTTTCTTGGACCAAATATTTAGTGCTCCAAGCACTTTTTACAGACTCAAGCAAACTAACAATCATGACGTGTGTTAGGTGGAACACTTTAGAAGTGGAGCAAATTAAATGGTCAGCTGGTTTCCTTAAAGCCATGCAGTGAATCAGTGACAGAACMAGAATAAGAACCCAGCTGAGTCTGAGATCTGTGATCTGTGATTTTGAAGTTTCCATAATTTTCTCAAGCATGAGATGAATGTAACTGTTCCACCCTTTCAGACTCTCCAGGTGTAGGTCCAATACATGGAGCCTTATTCTGTACCTTGGGTTGTACCTGTGAGGAGATTCTGACTCCCTTAGCATTAGAGATCCTGTAGGAATTAGATSATTAATCAATTAAAACTGTTAATGAACAAGTATAAGGAAGTAGAATTTTACAAATAATTTCTTTAAATTTTCTGTTTGTAGTTGACCTTAATATCTTTTTTAGAAGATACTTTTAGCAAATTCATGCAGTGCTAGGAGGATTCGTTATAAAAGAATGGCAAAGTGACCATGTTTGTCAACTGCATTTCTCCTGATGACAAATTTTTGTGTTAGARATAAGGAAGAAATATTTCTGCTGCATATTGATATAACCATCACTACTGTGGATAAGGGAAACATCTGATACCAACTGTAATAGAAATCACTGAAAATAAAACAACTTAAGCACCCAAATTTTCACTGTCCTCCACTAGAACCTAGGCCAATCCTGATGATGTTTTTCCTCTATCCCAACTTTTAAAATGTCAGATTAGCAGAGGGTGATGACCTGCCAGTTTTAAAGCTTCCCAAGATGGTTTTCTAAAGGATAAAGTTGTTCCTGATATTGTGGAGAAAAAAGCATGATAATAAAAAAAAGACTTTTGTTGTCTTTTTTTTCCCTTTCATTTTATCCTTGGCATGCTTTTTCCTTTTATGTTTTCTACTAGAGATGATGTAATTATTATTACAGAATTGGAGATGCGGTGATCAAAGTTTTTTGTATAACTGAGGCACTACACAAACCTCAACATTCCAAGCAGGCATATGTGCTCAACTACTGGGAACTTTATCTCTGAACAACTCACACTGGAGCATCAATCATACATATTAATCAAACCTTAGATGTATGATACTGAGTGTGGGTATCTCTGGGGTAGCTCTTAGGAYCACAGGCTCTTTGTTTCTGAGGCTTTCATGGAAAGAAAGATGGAAGTGTATTCAGTCTATATATATCATATATAGATATGACATATATAGAKATATCATCTTTATTCGCTCAAATCCATTGTTGGTCTCTGATGTTAATATGCAATTTTCCATGGATGAAAATCATTATGGGTCAAAAGATTACTTCCTATTTTCATAGATCAAACTAATATTCTCTATTTGACAAGGCATGTATAAGCACATGAATAACAGTTTATTTTATCTTTCAGATGAGTGTTAATCTTATTTTTCTTTTTCAGAGCGGATGTTTGGTCATCTTGGTTCTTTTAATTACTAGGAGGCTGACTAGCTTTAGTTTTGCTATTTTTATCCTTAGTTTTACTATTTTTAAGCCTCTAAGCATGTATTACAAAATATCTCACTTTCAACCGTAATCAGTTTTGTGATACATCTGGATGCAATATGAACATGTTTCTTAAATGGGTTCAAGCGCATGCTGCTCAGGACAGGCATTCTTTAAAGYAGTTTGGTCTCTCAAAAGGCCAGATTCTGAGAGCACAGGACTTTAAATTCTCCTTTGGATATGGAGGTCTCAGTTCAAAAGCAAGACTGATCCTGTAACATTGTCAGTGGCCAAATGAGGCAATATATGCCAGGACACTGCAGCAGTTCAGAAGGCTACACTAAGATTTTCTACAGATGAAATAGGAACAGAATTTTAGCAAGCATTGACCAGCACCATAAAGATACTTGTAAATGTTTATAATGGTACTTATAAATTCCATCTTGACCATTAGCCTGGATCATGCTCTTGTTCTTCTAATGAGGATTCCTGCTGACAGGATTGCTACTGATAATATGGGTTCTGTACCTCTGGCTGCCAGGAATAACAGATTTATTATTACCTCATTTCATTTTTAAAACACACTGCTTTTATTCTCCCCAGAGGTGCTTTGAGCCAGTACTTGGAGCAAATGAATACCGTGCTCTGATTTGGTGATAGTTGCAAGTGAAAGCTGAAGTGCACATTAAAACACTTAAATGCATCATCTAATTTACATCTTTGATTTTATTTCAGAGTAATATGTCCAGTGAAGACTGGAAGTTTGAAGCAATTTTGGAAGGACACTGTTTTTATGGCCCTTCTGCACTAAATGTGCCTGTGGGTGAAACAGTCCAGTATTCCCTCACGTTCAAGCCGGTTGCTGAGTGTATAATAAGGGTAAGAGAGAAATTAGATGGAACATTTATAAAGGATGTCTCTACCCAGAAAATTATCAGCAGTATCCAAATWGTGGAAGTGTTTAGACAGTTGCTAATATTAAAGCATCTGCTTGAGAGAAAGAAATGTTAATATTTCCGGCTATCTGAAATAAAAGCCCAAATGAACTAACTTTGTAAACTTTAAGATTAGGCGTGGCAGATTTCCCCACCACCAGTTCTCATCTCTTCTTTATTTCATGTTCTATTAAATCCATCAATACTATTAATTTCTACTATTCCTTTAATCCTACAGTTATTCTGTAAAAAGTCTGTATTTTGTCACAAAAATAGACATTGTTAGTCTGAATWTAAATACATTTATTAAATCATATTTCATGATGTAAGTAATTAAATACTGACATTGAGTTTTTCTCATTGAGTGCGTGCATCACAAATGCATTTATGTGATGAGTACTTTTAGTAAAATAATTTCTGTTGGAAGTTAAGCACCATTCCACAGCTGCTTTTGCCATCAGAGYAATTATTATTCCAAATGCTAAAATGACAAGCAAAGGCTATGACACCTTTAGCAAGAAGCAGTATTTGTGGTTTTGTCTGTTTCCCAGCTGAGAGATTTTGACTGCAAATAGCTGTTGAAATATGTAAATTGCCAAACACACAAAAAAATGCTCTTTGAAACATAAATAACCCTTCTKCATGTGTTACCAACTAAATACAATGCAGCTTAGGAATCCAGTATTATAAAATTATTAAAAGCCAAAAGCCCTTAATCCTTTGATGACAAATGTTTATGGACAACATTTTAGCTGAATCASAAAATCATCCAGGTTGGAAGAGACCTCCAAGGTTATCTAGCTCAGCTCAACCCAACACCACCACAGTCACCTCTAAATCATATCCCAAGTTATATATGCCTCTTGAACATTACTGGAGATGGTGACTTCACCTTCCTGAGCAACCTATTCCAATGCCTAAYGACTCTTTCMGTAAAAATATCTTTCTAATATCTAATYTGAACCTCATTATTTCCTCAGCTGCTCCTCATAAGACAGGTGAAGAACACTCAATGAAAGTTAAATATTATATGAGGCAAGGAGGTGTGAGAACACGTTCTTGGAGACATTTGAAAAACATTTTTCAAGAAGAAGCCAAGAAGTATAAAACCTAGAAAATGTTATATTGTTGAATTTCATAATTTAGAAAAAAAAAGATTAAATATTTTGTTTCTCTGGTTTACTTCTCTGTTTAGCAATGGAGTTTACTTAAGAACTAGGAAAGTCAGTCGGAGCCCTTTCTTGTAAGCACACTTTGGCACTTAGATTTAAGATTAATAGACTARAGGAGTTGCTTTGGCAGCCAAAGGGGACTTGTACAGTGCTGAAACTTTCTTTTTTTCTCCTTTCTTTGTCATAGGGAAGGCTTACTCTGAGAAATGTTACAGCTGGAACTCAGAACATTTTCAGCCTTAAGGGAATAGGGAAGAAACCTCTGCCTCAGGATTGTATTGTGGTCGAGTGCCAAGTGGGGAAGATCGCTCATAAAATCTTATGGGTGCACAATTATACCAAGAAAGTATTAACATACAAGGTAATTTTTTGCAATAATGTGACAAATATTTTTCTGTCCSAAGACCTATATTTTATGTATGATAGTAGCAAATATTACTGTAATTGCAGATACATTAGTAAAATTCATGTATCCATGAGAAAATATCCTACAGTTTATAGTATACGGATTTATTATAGTCATCTGTGAGATAATGTATGATTTTACTGTATGTTTGATGGAGAAAAATGATTTCTTTGTGTTTTAGTCTGGTTTCTGAAGGGACAGCACTTCTACCATTGTTCTCTGTTCATTTGCTAATCTTTCCTCCTCCAATGATTTGAAACCAGTGGCCAACTCCATTCAGTTTTGAAACCAGAAAAGGGGCTTGAGAGTTACTGGGTTCCTAAAATCTTCATAAAACTTTGAATATTACAGGAAAAACACTAAAATCAATGACCTGCTAAGGGAAGGAGCTCACTATTTGTATTCTAATTTCTTTTCTAGTGGCCCAGCGGCCTGGCTAGTCAGTGCTTGCATTTGTTGGGAGAAATTGTCCCAGTTACRCTCTGGGATAGTAACAATGCCCAGCTATTGTTTCAGGAATGTTGGAGGAAGTTTGGAATACTTTGTGTGTCTGCTGTTAGAAAATCCAGAGGTAATCACTGAAGCTCTTGAAAGGCAATGGGTCACTGGGAAGGTTAATACAAATTCTTAGGAACTACAGTTTTAATAATTTCCTTACTCAAGAACATGTTCAKACTATTCAATATCATCATTATTTTTCATATTTTCCATTAAATATTTTTTTATAACTGTATTTTCACAAACACATTTTCCTMTTTAGAAATGCTGTAGGAGTACTCTAATGGCATAATTTTTCTGCTATTTATCTCGTCTGTATGTTTAATTTGAAAGTGATATAAGTATTTCAGTAGGGTTCCTCACTTTCTGTACCTGAATATTGGATCCCATGTCCCATGCCAGCAGAGGCAGAATGTACATTAGGGCAAGGAAGATGAATTTTGCTTTTCTTCTCAGCTGCAGAGAAGTTCTTAAGCAGGAACATATTTGACTTTGCTCAAGAAAATTCATATTTGTGCCTCTATATGGCATTTAAATCTAGAGTAGATATCATCCAGACATTATGGCCATAAAYGGTTTGCCAGGAGGGCTCAATCTATTGAAGCAATGCAGGGGAGAGTGAGCTAAAAATTGTCAACATATGTAAATATATATATTTAGTTTTTCTTTTGGGGAAGGATTGAAAATCGGACCATGTACATTCCATAAGATAAAATCTRTCTAGTTGACTAGTGTGGACTTGCAAACTGAGTGATCTACTGGCCTTGGTGCCAGTGGGTCAAAATGATGTTTTATTCAAATTGAAATGTAATGGTAATGAGTGATTTGACCTTATGATATAAAGAGACATCATATATAAACCAGCAGCATTGTTCTGTTCAGTAATGCTAATTCATGCCAGTGTGAAAATCCTTCCTTGGGATATCTTTTTTCTGGTCTCCAATTTTCCAGGTTTTCACTTTTACAGATCAATCTACATTTAGGAAACTTTGTGTATCACAGAAAGGTCCAGGTTCATATTCCTATTTTTTGACTTATTATCATCCCCCCAAAACAAAATAAGAAATCCGTTTTTTCGGCATCACCAGCTTTGACATTTTTCAACAGACTTAGTTTTTTAGATGTGAATGCATTTGCATTACTAATATATTTGTGCTTTTATCTCTGGAAGAAGTGAATGTTTTTGGCAACAGAACTAGTTTTTCTATTTTCTCATTTTGTGTGAACTCAAATTTTTTTTTGGTGTCATTGTCAGTGAAAGGCACTGAAATAACAAACTTCAAAATGAATACATTAGAATTATTCATTGTATGTCTTTTCCAGAAGCATTGTATTAAATGAATTTATGACATTTGTATCTATTCCAGGGTGAGCTGGGTCTGACTGAACTTTGACCTCCTTGCAGGGGTTCTCTGGGCCCTGAAATCTGGTTTTGGTTGGTTTTGTGATGTGGGGTTTTTTTATGCTTTTTTATCTCTCTGAAATACTGCTTGACACTCCAACTGTGTGTGCTCTTTTTGCTCTGAGACCTTTGGGAGAGAAATAGTAAGGTCAGCTGTTTCATGCTTGTGTGCATATAATAAATTAATCAGGGTGAATAATACATTTTCTCTGTGCTGAGTTCTTACCCAGAAGCAGTTGTTGGAGCAAGGTGGGCTGGAATTTCTGGGAAAGGCATAACTACAAAGCCCACTGGTGTCTGGAAACTGTCCCCTCAACAAAGCAAATATTAATCACTTCCAGCACTCTCCAGCAGATGTCATGTGGTGTCTTGTGCTATTAAAGTGAGCAAAGATCATTTGCTTGTTTTTATTTCCAGAAGGGTCTGTCTGTAAATTAGGATTTACTCCCTAAATCCAGAACATGATCACAAGTATCTGTAGTTATTAGGACAATGCAGAGAACCTCCTCTTGGAGGGAACTGTGACCCACARCCTTGTTAGAAATGCAAAAATAAACTTTATTTACTCAGATGTGTATAGCACAAAGGGCAACAGGAAAAAGGAATGATTCTAATTTTGTTGCTGTTGTTAATTCCATGCTGCCTGATTGCTGTAATATCTGGGTAGTCTGTGGTGAAGCAGAGCACTGGTTTTGTCTTTGTTGGTGTTTCCCTTGGGGCAGTTGCTGACAGACCAATAACTCCTCATCTTGTTTAATCCAGCATCTTTGACAGTTTTCTGTATTGTGCTGTAGCTAAATTGGTGATTAGGTGGAGGAAATTTTGTCAGTCTTGGTAGACAGAGCAAAGATAATAAAAAAAAATATGGATATGTTTTTGATGGGATCTTTTGTAATTTTGCTGGCTAATGARTATATTCATTACTGAATTGGTTGGTTGATGTGCCCTATACACCCTGGATTSCTGGAGTGTATCCACTATTTGAAGTAATTTCTCATGGATTAACTGAGACATAAATGATATTAAAAAAAACAAAACAAAACAAAACATAAGAATTTAATTTACTGCAGTAATAAAGCTCAGCCTATATCAAGGWTAGTATGAGATGTGCCAGTTGCTGACAAACATTAAAATTTACAGGCATGTCCATAAACAATTTACTGCACAATGAATACTTAGCAACAGGTAATTTGGCTGAATTGGACAATTTTGCCTTTGAGGTGTAAATTTAGCTTCACTATTCCATTTTAATAACTGAATATATTAAACTATAAACTTAACAAAACCCCTAATTTCATTTAAAAAATAAAATTACATTATATATATGCTACTCTGTTTCTCAGTATTTTCTGTATTTTTCTGATAGCCTAAACCAAAATGAGGGTACTACTGCAAAAGTGACTATTTAAAATGAAATTTAGGTCTGGATGGAAGAAGAGGGAAATAATCTTTTCTGTTACTGCATAAAGAGAGCTCTCTTCCAGCTGAATAATGCTTTTTTCCTTTTCAATCAGTTATAGAGGGTTTATGTCTGGGGCAGYAATAATTTTTATATGTGGTGTGATTGTGCAACCATTAATGTGGATCTAGAGCTGGGGAGGAAAGAAGTGCCTTTGCAATTCMGTGGAGGTCATGTGCTTGACTCCATCAGTCTATCTTTAAAACTTCTAAGCAAAACTCTTTCATTGCCCACAAAGCTTTCCRTGATTAAAAAGACAATTTCCATAAATTCCCTTGAAAAATGTGAGCTGTTTTATGAATTCTTTTCTACTGATTGATGTGCAAACCTTAGGGAACTGCTTCTACTGTGCTCTTCATGGCTGGTTCTGGGGGAATCTTACAATAGATAGTCTTTCTTGTGATTGACTTACTCCTGGATATGAAAAAAACATAACACCAGAATTCATAAAAAAATTGTGCATATATAAAAGAGATCACATCCTTCTCTGATGCTGAACTAATATATATGACTGCAGTGTAAATGGATTTTAGTGTCTGTAAAATTTCATTCAATTCATCTGACAAAAGGAGGAAATGTAAAGCATTTTTATGTAAATCCAATCTCTTGGTCTCATGACAAAATTTTTAATCCAATTTCCTTGTTTATTTATATAAATCTTTGTCTTCTGGATATAAATAATTGTCTGATGTGTTGATGGTTTGTTCTAATGATACCTTTGATAGAAATTTTAGCTATAAAGGAGCCTAATTTTTTCAAGKCATGGTTTTGCAATAAAATAACAAAACTGTGCAATTGTTTTTCTCATTGCTGTTCAAAATAGATGTCATTAAAGTAAACTCCAGAGGCATCTCAAGGCCCAGTTAAATTACCTTTCAGGCATTAGGTTATACAAACTGTTTGTATTTTAGAAAACTATTGTAGAATAAAGATATAATTTAAAAAAAAATGAAATCCCCTGTTCTTCAATGTGTTTATGTCTCTATTCTCTATATATCCATTTTGGATTTTTGCAAGGTCAATGGAACAATGGCATGAAGGTGGGGTATTTGTAACAAATGCCTCAAAGTAATAAAATTATGTACCATAACCATTTAATGAGGGGCTTCTCTGTTCAGCTTAACTCTTGTTTGGTAATGTATCTGAGATTTTCTGAGAATCAATTCTGTGCGAGTATAGCAACCTGATTTCTCAAAGTCACCAAGTTCATATCCTTTAACCAAAAGTGTATCTGTGTATTCCATAACCCTTCTATTTTTATCTGCCCTTCCAATTTCAATACTTTTGGCTTCCACATTATCTACCAGWACTTCTGTAACAGCCTTCACTAAAGAAAATGCAATCTTTATAGCAGTAATTAATGGTACAAAGGCTTACAGAATTTAGGAATAACTGCAGTTGTTGGCAGATCGTTTTTTGATGACTAGTTGTGAAATTTTTWGATCAAGTAAGGTTATTGTGAGGTCTTAGGTCAGATTTGTTTCTTGAAATGTGCAAGTGGTCTTGACAGGTGACCTGGCTTGGGTACAAATCTGGATTATGGAGCGTTCTTCATTTTGTAAAACTCCAGAATGCAGCTGAGCAGGCAGGAATTATTTGGGGAATACACTCAGTGCAATGYAAAGATGTTTCACTTCAGTGTGGTGGCATGCTGGTGGCAAAATGAGTGTGATTGCTAGAATTTAATTAAATGAGTTCCTAGTAAATCAGGAATTTGCAAAGTCTGCACTGAAAAGTGGATGAGGGAAAAAAATGGAGGCTTTTTTTTTGGAAAAACGGCCTTTCTTGAGAGCTTTGGAAAGGACCTGGCTGTTAGATTGATCAGTGCCTCTCACATACAGTTCTGCCCTAGTGTCAAAGAGCATTATCTCTTTGCTAAGASCCTCTGAATATTATTAAACAGACCTGAGAAACAATTTTCAAATTGAAACCTTGAACATATTATTGTCTAACTTTGTTATACAAAGAGACAATGAAATTTAAGTATATTTGGTTATGTTCTTACATCCATTCACCACTCTGYCTTGATGTTTTTGGAGTTATGCTTATTACATGGTTATTCAACTCTGAAAAAAAGTTATATTCTCACTATAATTTTGAAGTTTGGTTTTCCATTTCTATTCATGTTCAATAGCCATATTACAGTTCTGCAGAATGAGTTTTCAAATCTGTGGCTGATAAATTAGTTTAAAATTGCAGCATTTTATAATGTACTCCATTTATACTTTCTGGCTGTCTGTAAATAATGACTTGAGGTATGAGACAATGGAGAAAACCATAATTGAAAAATAAATTCCTGGGGATGGCTTGATTTGAGCAAATGCTGTGCAGGGTCACAATGATAACTTTAACACTAATTTACATTTTGGCTCCATTGTGTCATTCTGAAATTCTAGTTTCCTGAATGATAGTGGAATGATATAACATATTTTAAGAAACTGTAGTTATTTATTTGTGCCTGGTAAATTTTGCTTGYCTTAGTGTGTATGTGCAGATCTGTCCATTTCTCTCTGTATAAATACTGTGTATAAATACATATCTCTGCAATCCCATCCTTGGGGTGGTTTCTGGTTAATCTTCCTGTAACTGTTCATTTCCTCATAGCCCATTAGGAAAAAAGCTGYCTCTCCCATTAACTGGAAGAAGTAATTCCATATCTTGACTCACTTTGAACAGCTTGTAAATCAATATTATTTTTGTTTTTGTTGTTGATAAAAATACCCAGTTTATGCCCCATCTTCTTACTTCAAAATGTATTTGCCTAACAATAATGATCCATACAAGAATTTGTCAGGCACATTCAGGTACTTTTGGGAACAGAGTTTTGTAGATTATTATAGGATATAAGGTTATTCAGTGCTGCATCTATAAACAAAATTGCGGCCTATTCTTACATATAACCCTCATAAAATGCATTCTAATAAGAACTAGAGATCTCTCTGCTATTCAGTAGAAAGTTACCTTTAAGCTTACTGTTTATTTATTCCTTTGTTGCTTCACTCCAAGCTTTCCTCTCAACTTACRAAGTTTTTGCAAGAAGTTATTGTTACAAAAATCTGCAATTTCTGGACTTTCACCTGTGTGTCCTTTTAAACTCTCCACCTTTTTCATTTTCTGGACTTATTACAATTTTGTAATAAACCTGAAGTTAAGCAGATATAAGTTACACAACATTATGCCATATTAGAACCCCAAAAGTCTGTGAACAAATGCGAACCATTCTTGGTATGAATCTGATATTAGGATAAATTGCCTGTGTGCATGGGCAAGAGTGGGCATGCACTTTTGGTATCCGTTTRCCATCTGAGGTTGATCATTTAATTAATCTCAGTAACAGAGCTGATAAATCATGTGTCCATTAGAGTGTGACAAAGTTCTGTTTAAGGAACACATGGAAGCTAACTGGGGAGTTTTTGTTACAACCATAGACCTTGTCAAGATGTTGGCAGTAGRCCACAATATTGGTGTGACCATTGTTAGGAGATTGGTGTAAATAACTTAAATAGTAGAGAGAAATAGGGTTGGTAGAGGAATGGGAGTGATTCATTGATGAGATGGTGTTTAAATTGGTTGGAAAAGCTAGCAGGAGGAGGAATATGAGTGAGCTTCATGACTGCAGTGGGAAAGGTGACAGCCAGCTGAGGCCAGCATCAGTTATGCACAAATTTTAGTGAGTATCGTCCCAAAAGGCTCAGTCTGACGCAGGGCAGGGAAGGGAGAATTTCTTCATGTCTATTGATCCAGGATCTGGATTCAAACATTGAAACGGGGACCATTTGTGTACTGACATGATTTCATTGCTTGTACTCAACCTTTTCCCATTCAGTTATACGGTCTCTTCCTTAAGATAAACAACTTCACTTTAAAATAATTTAGCATATCTTAGTTCACTGCTCTGAAAAGGTTTCCAAAATTTCTCTTGAATGACTGAAAATCAAACTTGCCATGTATATTTTTACTCATCAGCAATCCATAGGCATTTCATGTTTACACTCAACCATGCCAATAGTGTTCCTTTTACTGTGACATGTTTTATTAAAAACTGATCTGGTATTTCCAGTCTGATAGAAACAGTATTATCCTGCTCTTCTTCTTTTTATCCAATTTAAATTAATCACATTCATCCTGCTTTTGCTTCTGTCTCTGTGTTTCTTTTTCCTTAAATAAAAATCTCATTTTAACTAATCTTATTTCTTTCCCTAGTAATTTGCTGTCATTTCTGTTATCCTAGCTGTTATTTTAGGTACTTATCCTTCACCTTTGTATGCATCCATTGTAAACTGAAATGGAATAATCCATAAATGTGGGWGTGTGACTAATTTATTGCTTGTATTTTAGTAAATAAAACTTCTTCATCTTGTGTAACAACCACACCTTTTCTATGCTTTCCTCTTTGTTGATAACTTAAGGGGTTTTTTTTTCAGTTTTCTTTCCCCAAATGCCAACTCAAGAAAGCTTTTCATCCATCTCTTTTTTAGCCTTTCTTTTTTATCTCTTGACAAGTAGTCTCTTCCTATTGTTTTGGTTGCTGGACTTCTAATATCCAGTTTGAAATGCAGATTTATTGGGGAAGAGGAAGGTTGTTGCTTTACAGTATTTTTCTCTGTTACTTGGAATAGAAGTTCCTCATTTAGAAGAACAAGCACCTGAAAAAGGGGATTATATTAACATAAATACCACTGATAGGGAATGTGTTGTAGACAATGATTGTCTGTATCAGATTATGTAAGAATTGGGTTTTTTTCTCTACAGAAAATAATAAAAGATATTTACTTAAAAAGAAAATTGGTGACTGAAAATGGTCTGTGCATCTAATGTTAGTGTTGCAAAAGAAGTCTTTGTAGATTGCAGGTATCCACTTAGATGCTTGACAGGCTAGCTGTAATAATTAATGAATTTAAAAATAAGGTGGAGAAAAAAATCATGCTTTTCTGTTTTGACTAGTGATTTCACTCAAAATTCACCTGAATAACACAGAGACAATTTAGTTATTTAATGTGATTAGGAATGGTAGCATGCAACAATACTACATGATATCCCAAAGGGATTTTTTAAAAGGACTCCATGCCTCAGACCATGTAGATGAGAACCTGTAGATGAGAGCAGGAGTTGCAGTGTCAGTTCAAACTGCTTACACTCGGCAGGAGTGTCACTCAGCCAGTGGCAGAGGTGATGGGGAAAGGGTGTGAGCAGAGCCATTCCCACAGCTCTGCTGCTGCTGCTGCTGCTGCTGCTGCTGCTGCTGCTGCTGCTGCTGCTGCTGCTGCTGCTGCTGCTGCTGCTGCTGCCCCACCGTCACCCCAGCGGGCACTCCCAGCCCTGTCTGGTGACACTCGGACCTGAGAGAGTCCCTCTGTAAAGCTGTGCAAGAGAGAAAGAAATGAGATGCAATTAAAATAAAAAAATACTCACTCTCTCTTCTCCTAGTGAGCTTTACAGTCTGCAAAATCTAAAATTCAATGTGTGAAAATGGTGTTCGTCTCTCCAGTGCTCAGATATTTCCCATGTATGCCATGCATGTGTGTCATTTACCAAAGGTGACACATCAAAAGRCACAGTTTAATATCACTTGAGGTCTAGCAAATGATGTTCAAATGACACTTCAGAWTTTGCATTGCTCTGTCTAGTTAGATGGATCACTGCTGCTGAACCTCTTTGTTATATTTCTAATGAAAATGTGTGTAAAGTATGAAGGGCCTGACTGTTCAAACCCATGCATGTGTAAGTAATTCCATGGTCTGAGCAATATACTTTTCATCATGCTGGGCAATGACTTCAAAATTTGTGCTTGGTATGATCTGTGTATCAGATCATTTCTCTTACAGTGTGTATTCTTTCATGTGCATAAAAGCAGGGTTTACTGATAGATATTTTCTATTATYCTCTTCAAAGCAGGTAGAATGGATGTTGTGTCAATGATGTTCTTGCTTTTAATGAGTTTTCCTCTTTGTRAATTRTCTTCCCCAGGTGTATTCAAATCTYGCCATCCTGAGTGGTGCYTCTGAGCTGACTGTGAACCCAGAGGACACTGCTGCTTATACTCTGAGTATAGCTCCCTGCACACGAGGAGTCTTTCAAGGTACAATCCAGAACTCAAATATGTAAAATATCCCTATAAATTAGCAAATTAAATCTTTTTACATCTAATGCTTGCATTTGTTCTGCATAACATTTCTTCTGGAGGTAAGATATAATAACTGGTGATTCAGGTTTTTAAGCTGGTTCATTTTTTTATTTGTAAAGGTGTCTTACTGCTAAATATATGCTCAGGTTCTTMAAAAATGCCAGCATATGAACAACTGTAAGCACTTAATTGTTCTCATGAAAATTGACTACATAGGAAGTGATGATTTTTGAATTATCACCAACTTTGGGTCTAAATTTAATTTTCCAAAACCTGTTGAATACCTTTAGTTATTTTAGCACTACTAGGAGCAAAGCTYTAAAGGCAGAGACCAGGGTTTGATTTTTTCCCTTAATTAACATTCAATCTGTTGACCACAAGGCAAGARTACATAAATAGAATGCAGTGAACTCAGTTCTTGCTTTGACATAATCAGAGGCTAGGGAGATCTAAAATTAATTGTACCTAATTTGCATCTATTCATGTTTATAAAGATGTTCTTATGATACAACACCAAAACTCTTGATTGTTTTAACCATTGTCAGCATACCACAATTAATGTTTTGACCTTGTTTACTTTTTTAATTACAATTCCGATGTCATAATTTTAAAATGTTTGGTGTTGGTTCTAAAATTCCATGGTGCTCATTATTTGCTTTATAATATGAAAAAAATGATTTTGGGAATGAGGCTGCACAATCTTTGTCTTCCTTGTAGGATAACTGTTGTAGTAACTCTCAGCAGAGCAAAGAGCCAGGGTGTGTGGGAGGGAGTTATGGAAACAGAAGAGGCCATCCTAAAGGAACTGGATAGCATCAGGAAAAGATTTGAACTTCTTAAACAAAAGGTTTTCTGATAATGGAGAAATCTCTTAATACAAAACTCYTAGTGTGTGTMGTTTTGAGTTTGSAGGTTCCTGACTCCAAGCACTTGATTCTGCCACTCTTAGGCAATTGAGAATAATGGCAGCTGTTTTCTCAGCATTAAAAAGCTATTAAGCCTTGTCCCTGAGGTTGTTGAACTACTTTGCWCCTTTGGCCATTTTGTTTTTAGTACCTGATATGTAAAATGTAACTAATAATGCCATCAGAATTCACAAGTGATTTGTGCAAAGAAATTAATACTTGTAGCAAAGCTTGGCCTAGTACATAGGAAGACTTCAGTGGCCTGATCTGTAGCCCTAAAAGAAAAAAAAAAAAGTCACTTTATATGAATAGATATCAACTTTCAATGACAATTGTAACCAAAAATGTGCACCAGAAAATATTGAGGATGTACTATATTTTAATGTGCCTTTTTTTTAAGCATTAAAAATTAGGGAATATTCTCTTCTACCTTAGAAAATCCCCAATTTTTTTATATATAATGAAAGTTTCAGTAGAAGAGGCTCTAAGGGATCTATCATACAGCAAATTAATAGCAGGTGATAAAAGCCATGCCTTCAAAGAGACATGTTCAGATCTACATCTCCAATGTTCTCTCCTTCCCTTGACTTCTATTACAATGGTTCCTATTATGTTTTGAAGTATCATATGTTCATTGAGTGAAAAAAGAGAGAACAGTCAGTCTCTCTAACCCAAAAAAAAGTTACTGGTTCAAATGCTGGGAAGCCACATGTGCCCTTTTCCTCAGAAAAGTTCGTTTATTTTACACTTTAAAATAACTGATAGAAGGCTAAAGTTATCCTTTGAAAAGGACAGGACCYTGTTATCTCCAATCCACCCCCTGGCTCAGGGCTGGCTTTAATCACTACCTCAGGAAATCATGTTCATCCTTCCTCTGGAACAGAGACAGGTTTGGCTCGCTCACAGAAATCCCTGAACTCTCTCTAATCATTCAGCTGCTGTAGCAGGGAGAGGGGTGGAGGGAAGAGAGGGTCACAGGCCACTGTCACAGGTTTGAAAAGCAGCAGCTGATTTTGATGTCTGATATTAGGTTTGCTATAAACCCAACTACCAAGTGTCCTGTCTAAGGTGACATGTTAGGGAGTGCTTCCTTTGTGGCTTCAGGGAGAATGGAAGTCTGTCTGCTTTGGACTGTGCAAGGCTGAGGAGTCATATTTAATGTCAAAGCTGATATACATATATATGTGTGTGTATATATATTTGCATTTTGGCATTCAGGATAATTCACCAGCCAGCCTGAAGCTTGAGGACCACCGAGAAGATGTAGCTGATTCACGTGGGAATTAGGCTGGACTCAGGAATCTTAATCCTTTCTAGGTTCAAGATACTAAAAACAAAATATAACTTAAACACACACACCCCAAAAATGTATTCTTAATTCAGTCTGGTGAATTTGTTTAGAAGGAAGCAAATAATCTATGGGGCAAACATTTTGAATGACTGAAAATAAAAAAGCAATGCTCCAAAGCTATCTGCAGAGGGAGTAAATTTTATCCTGCAGGGAAATAAGAACAGCTATTTAGATTTCTAGCTGAAGACTGTCATAGTGCCAATGAATAATTTCAWGTCTAGAACTTCCCAGCTTCTAAGTGTAAAACTTTTTAGCCCTGTTTTTTTCATATTAAAATCAATTCTAATAAAAGAACTTCTACCATGCAAGTTGTTGTACTGAAMAAATGGTTTGTGTTTTTCATTTATTTTCAATCTTTTTATTTCCAAAATTGTATAGCTGCAAAATTATACYGCTTTTGCTTCCTGTCTTGCTGTTTTGTGGTTTCTAAGCTAAAAATGGGCCCAGATATTTTCTAAAGCCCATTTGAAAGTATTCCAATAGAGGGCTAATATTGCATGCTTCAGCTAGTTTGTAGGTGCATGACAGATTAAACACAGAAATAATAGCAAATAAACACCTCAGATAAGATTCTGTCACTACATAAAATTCTTCAGCATTCTGTTTTCTGAGTAATTGAGCAATTTGGTTTAGGTTAGGTAAACCATCTTCTACAGATTGCTTTATATTTTATCAAATTTTTATTTCTGCTTTCCACAGAATAGACCAGAACTTTTCCATAATAGAGCAAAATTCATAATGACCCACACACTTTTTATAGTCAGTGCCCTTTATTCATAAAACCCCCTAGCTTTTGGAAAGGAGCTTTCTAACCTTGTGTCTCATGTTTCATTAATTTTTTAACTAAATCTATGTTTAGTAGGCAGTGCTTTTCCATGCTGCTTTGAAGCTGAAATTGAAGAAAAAGGGCAGCATTTTCCCAGCCTGTCAGATGCAGCTGCAGAGCAATTTTAGTGAGGTGGTGAAGATCATGCCAACACATCCTGGCCTGTAAATGAGTTAATTGAACCTGTTTGTTTAACAATGTTTTCCATTCAATACTGATGTTAAAAAATATTGTCCATTTCTTTTTTTTTTTTTTCTGGAATTCTGCAAATTGTTCCACTGATCAATTTACATGGAATCGTAAAAACCCAGAGGGGGGAAAGACCATCTCTGTAATTTCTTGTAGCCTTTGCTGTATTTCCAGCACCTGCCTGTTTGCTTTGAGCATTCCTCCTCATCTGCATCATCCTGGCAAATTGAATCCAATTCATTGGTAACAAAGACAGAGCTTGAAGGCTCTTCTGGTTTCTTGATTCTTGTGAGTGGCTCTGCAGGATCACCAGAGTGCCCTGAAGGAGCTGCTCTGCTGGGCCAGGCACTGCCAGCAGGATGATCCCTGGGACACACCTTCCATCCATCCTGGTGCAGGTGGAGCTGCAGRCTCCTGAGCCTTTCCATATCATAATTCCACTGTCACATTAAGAAGAGGCAGTGAAAATTATAAATAAAACAATTCACCTCTTTATTAAATGCTATGCTACAGAGCCATATATGAATGACAGTTGACATTATCAGGGTTTGATGGTGTCACAGCAGGATTTGCCACTTGTTTGTTTCTCCTAGGTGCGAGTCTTTAAGTTGATTTTTTTTTTAATTGATGCAGGGAGCAGTTCATGTAATCCTAGTGTACCCACAAATAGGATTTACAGAAACTCCTTAGAATTTGCATGTCTCATCATAGACATTTTCCTAGGAACAATAGAGATGATAAAGATTTGTTCTAACTTACAGTAAATATCCTTTTTTTTGTCAGTAGAAAAACTGCAAGAAGAAAAATTGGCTAAATAGCTACATAAATTACATTCATCTTTTTAATTTATCTCTTCTGTGGAACTCTTCTGTGGCAGCAACTGTACACAGATTTCATTGGCCAGAAAAAAATCCAGGAAAAGACAAAAACCTCTCCTCCTACTCCCAAGACCTTATTAAGTTCATGTTGGTATATTTAAACCACAAGCCAAATGTTTCTATATTTTTTTCAGATTTGTGTGATGAATTCTGTGGCCATATAGCTTTCTGTTCTTTTTTCCAGTTAAAATATTGGGATATTGTGGACTTTTATCATCTCTATGCAGCAGAAAATAAGCATGSACCCTATGTATCTTTCAAATACCCCATTTAAGTGATACAGAAAGGAAAGCATTGAGCATTTCTTTCTTTYTTAATTGTATTCATGGATGGGGTACTGTAGTATATAGTCAATGAGTCAGTCTAATATGGTGTCTTGCAATTACAATTTTATTGGGAAATAAAACAGCCTGCTTCCTTTTAAAAGGATGCATCTTCTCTAAAGCAGTATAAAGCAAGGCTTTGGAATTAATATGTGGACTGTAGTTGTATAAAATGTTTAAACAGTGAATGGTAAACCTAGAAGAGATGCAGTGTTGCTTTGACCAAGAAAGGCTTTCAAGGAACGCTGTGTCAGCAAAAAGAAAACCTCCTCAATTCATGCAACTTTTAATTATTGAGTTTCAGTATAATTCTAGAAATTCTTCTATTGCTTTTACCAATTTAGGATCATACACATGCAAGTTCGGTATTTTATATATATGCAAAAAGGCATCTAAGGAGTCTTGTTTTCTGAAAYAGCTGATGATGGCATTATTCTGTGKCCAGTTGAATCAATGGGAATTGTATCTCTGGATGAACATGAAGTCTTGTTTGGTTCTGAAGGTATGCTTAAAAAATTGTCAGCAAATTATTCTGTTGTGTAGTATGTGACACAGAAGTCAGAACTGAGCAACTGGATACAAAAGAAAAACCCAAACATTGAGGACTTTTGTKCATGAATGAATTATCATTTATCAGCATGAATGAATTATCATTTATCAGTTGGGTTGTAGCACCTATAAAGAAATGTGAAATACCAGTGCCCTTGCTGAAGTCACTGTAGGCAACAGGGGCTCTGTAGGATGAGAGTGCATTCACAGCCAAAAGACCAGAACTTTCTGTGTCACAGCTCATCCCTCTCATAGGAGCCAAGCTCAGCAGAACCATACAAAAAATGCAAATTTGCTTCTTGTATTTCTTATTTCAAATCTGTCATTTTTGATGCAATCTTTCTGCACATTTCCAATGTATTATTTATGACTTCATAGAGCACAAAGTACTTTTTATTACTCTTCATTGTATAAAACTCTTTTCCCCATCCTGCAAAACATCACTTGACAGGAATATTTTTGTAGCCCATAATTTGAATAAATTAATGTAGTTATGTATTATCTGCTATCCTAATCTCCACTAGGGGTCAATGGGTTGCACCATTTACTCCCAAACAAGGAGATTATTTTAATTAGGAATATTTCCTAGGAAAATGTTCTGTCTTAATTTATAGACTCAAGTCATRCAGATCATACTGTGTACTGTCCTCACTGATAAGGATTCTGCATTTTAGTTTTGACATGAAATTAATAAACTTTTTTCTTTTGTTATTTTGCATTTCTTGACAGCAATGATTTCCTTTTATTTTCCCCTAATAAAAAATTCAAATAGCTTTGAGCCAGTGGTAGATACTTTGATGCCCAAGAAAATTATGAAAGACAATTTATGAATATTTTAAGATTAAGCAGATAAACTGAGTTATGAAATGTATGCCATCGGTAGTAAACTCATTATTTTTTATCAAAATAATTTGACAGATTTAATTGAGAGCCTTGCAGAAATCTGTATTCATCACATCAATTCAGTCCATGTTTATGGATCAARATTATAACCTCATTGTTATTTTTGTTTGTTTGAGATCTGGTTTTCATAAAGAAGGAAAATTGAGTGTCAGCAATTGTAGTGCAATTCCTCACTGATTTTTTGATCCTGTGAATTCCAGATTATCAGCACAGAGGTTTAGCAATTTAAATAGTTTTTATTTACAATAGTTCTTCTCATAGCTCTTGAAATATTCTTGAGCATTAGCAATTTATTCTTCTGGAACTTTTCAAGGATTCCAATATTTGCTTCTAATAAAAATTAATTGTTCAAGTGCTTCAGCTCATTATTTTGATGCTTTTGAGACCATGTTTTGTGCAGAGAAAAAAAGTCACTGTTTTACCATTTCATTACTTAAAACTGTGATGATTCCTATTCTGTCCCTCTTTCACCCATCCTCACATGTGGATAATTCATGATTCTGAAATAAAGACAATTGGTAAAGGAAATCCTCCACAATCACTGGAAGGGAAAACTATAAGGAATAATTAGTATAATTTTAAAATTAAGAGTAAGAAAATATTCCTTACTGTAAGAAATTGGTAGAATTTATGAATGTATTGATTTTCAGCATTTAGCTAAGACTTTTTGGTTAATTTCAAAGCTATTGTTTTSCATTTTTTACTCATTGTTTTATAATTGTCAATGTCTTTCCAGCATATTGATGCTAAGGATGGTATTTAAAATTAATGAATTCTCTCTTACACTTTGCCTCTCTCTAATATTGTGCTTCAGTAGACCAAAATAATATCAGGATTATGTATTGAGACATAAAATCAGATTAATTAGTCAGTATACTATGATCATTAATCATTAATTAGTAATTTGTCCTATGATCCATTAGCTATTAGCACCATTCTATGTGTACTCTTGCATCAAAATTTATATACATTGGGCATTTTCTTCAGACTTCATTCTCTTTTCAATAATGTTTTTTTAAAATTCTTCTTGCACATCTACCTTATCCGTCAAGACTAAAAAAAAATCAATAATTTCCAGAAATAATTTCCAGTCACTTCTCTGCCTATTTGAAAGTAATTTTAGTAATTTGTAAAACTTCAATTTAAAATGCTTTTGTCTTGTTTATTTGTATTTGAGTAGAGTTTTCTTAATAAATTTGTGACTCTATTTAAAAAAAAAATCAAGGTATATATTATTATGTCCCACTGGATTTAAACCTATTTTCATTTTTTTGATTTTGATTTGAACTTCAGTGTTTTATACCTGTGCTTTCCAGTTGCTGTGTTTCAAAGTAAAATAGATTATTCTTTGTAATCACTTAATGTAATCCTTCTCAGTAGAAATAATTTGTCAGTGTTTATCACGTCACACATCTGCCCCCCTCAAAGCTGCAGAAACCATTAGATGTGGATATTTTCAAATCATATTTTTTTTTGGGATTGCCATATTAATTTCCCACTTCAAAATTCAAAAGCTCCATGATTGATAGTTTTTCCCAAGTTCTTGGTGAGACAGAGTAAACAAATACCCTTTTGGATATATTTGACATAAATTCTAATAATCACAACTTAGAACAAATCTTACTATGCAACTGCATTAAAAAAATCACCTTCTCAAATTTTATATGAGGCAAGAATGAAACCTGCAAAATACATTTATTTTGGCTTAGAAACCTAGAAACAGAATTTATKGAAACATTGAGAGACAGTAATTTTGATGCAATTAGAGTGTTATGTGGTATTTCCAAAAGTTTGTGTAGATTGAAAATTCTGAGAGGCACAAAAATGGAAGAAATAGAAACCTGCTTATTTAAAGCCAGTATATCAAATCTTCCAGAATAACATTAATATTATTTAAAGGAACCCCATGCATACTAGATTTTATATTGGTCAAGACACATCTGCTATTGAAAAAATTTAGGGTTTACAGTCTCTCTGTATTTAATCTTCCCAAARTACTTGATTACAATTTAATATACAATACAAAAATATCACAGGAAAAATTTAAATTTTACAATTATTCTCTTATAGTGCTAGAATGAGACACTGTGATTTAAAAAAATAATAGAAAGAATGCAGGCTATGTACAGAAGATTGAGCTGGGAAAAAGATAGTATTAGTGACCACAATATTGTGCAACTTTTTATGAAGTTGGTTTGCTTATATTTTCAGCTGCTGATCTTTTTCAGGTGCTCATTATGGATCTCTTCAGTCAAGYAGCAGAGCACTTTGGGGAGCAAAAATGGTTAATTTTATTGTACTCACTTGAGAGATATTTCCTAATATCATAAATTATAATGGGATGGCTGACACCAAGTGGACTGGAAGTCTGACTTCATTTAATATTAGTTTTGACCTGAGGAACCCCTTGTACAGGTTGGCAGTCTGTTTTTGTGAAGCTGATGCCTGGCTAATTCARCTCCTGSTTTCTGTTTGTTTYAGGTGTCGTTTCATTTGTTGCTCGAGATGAAACCCCCCCACCCCCTCCAGCCATCCGCCCCTCGCTGCTCAGCACACCACAGAAGACAACTGGCAAAAAGACCTTTAGGAAAATGATAAGGAAGTCAATGCGAGCTCTTGCAGTAATAAGACCTGGTACGTTTGTATTATGGATGCATTTGATGTCAATTTTTGTAAAATTACATTATGTGTTTTAAAATTAAATGGRTATTTAGTATGCACAGCCTACAGACAGTGTATAAAATTCTCCTTTTATGATTTTTGAAGCATTTTTATTTTTATGATGTTAAGCTGAGCCTGTTTTTTCTTTTCCTTTTTTTTTTTTCTCTTTTTATGCCAATGTCACTGACTATTGCTCGTTGTTAGTTACTTTCTTTGTAACGATCCAATAATATTGATAGTGCTGATGTCAATTGTGAAATTCATATTGTCATTTCTGAAATTCATATTGCTCCATTACTTTCCCCTGTGGAAAAATTTTCTTAAAACAGTCTGTCATAGATACTCCTTTGGTGCAGTAAAATCAAAAAGAGAAAATTCCAGAATACCTATTTACTTTCATATTGTCACCACCTACWTTATTCTAAGCAGTATCTGCATTACTTTTGAGATTTCAAGTGTTCCAGAAGAATACTTTTGTAGTTACACCAAATATACCAATGCAGGTTTTTTGTTTGTTTTTCAATCAATTTCTCCACTTTCTTATTTATATTTGCAAGTATAACTTGGCTTATAGAACCGTGTTTTTTATGCTTTTAGTATCTAATTTAGTATCTATTTAAATCGTCAAGCATTTTTTTTTTATATGATTAAAGAATATTTCTTGCAAGGAAAGCTATCAAAGAAAGTTTAAACTAAAAGAGTTTTAGTCAATATTGAGTTTTTAGGAAATTGAGAAAGGTTTGCAATTGGAGATCTCTTTGTCTTTATAACTGTACTTTCTAGATAAATTAAAACCAGAATTTATCAAGCTCTAAAAAGATTTAGAAGCTCATTTTATCAATMAATTAGAAATAATTTGAGTTAAGTCAATGTGAATATCAGAAAGGCTGTTCTTTTCTAGTCTATTAATATTTGTACAGCAGCATGGAAGTTGGTTGACATAAAAAAAATCATGCAACACCTCATTGGAAGTTTACAGAAGAAGGATTTTAACAAATATTACATTAAGGTGATATATGCAGATAATACAGGAGAGAGAATTACAGATTTCCAGATATTAARTGGAATTAATAATAACAATGATATAAAGAGTGATGCCAGGTACACGGGAGATAAACTTCAAATCTTTACTGAACACCTGAGAAYATTAATGAATTTAGTTAAGCTTTTATTGTCCAAATAAAACATTTTTTCTTATGAGATAGTTGAAAATTTAGGAATCATCAGTCCATAACTAGTAAAGGCTATAACTGGAAGTAACTGAATGTAGAAGGTTAAGTAAGAAAGTTTCAGAGAATGGATGTCTCAGTGCTGTCCCTATCACCAACATGAATTGAGGGTTTTGTTCTTAGGTAGAAAATCCAATGGGACTTCATGGTTTGCTGTGGTTATTACTGATCAGTCTTTTGCTCCATTTGGTTCCCCACTGACAATGTGAGACTCAYTGGTCTATTTATGCATTTGAAATGTTTTCCCAACATGTTTAACAAATTAAAATTAAATAAATTTTTACAATAAAATATTAGTCTAATAAGTTGCTGAGAGGAGCCGGGTAATCAGCCCCAAATCTTTTGCTGCACACTAATTTACATGGATATAATCACTCCCACACTGAGAATCCCRTTGGTAATTGGAGCCATCTACACAGTTTATCCCTATATGGCTGCCTCAAGTTACTGCATCTTCTCTTTCTGTTGCCATTTTTTGCTCTTTTTGTGCAACTCTAGTGTTACRTCTTCATCTTATTGTAACCTACATGTTTCTAGTAAACTGCACTGACTCGGGCTGCAGGRCTACTGGCAATGTTTRGGGCATCATTAGGATTGCTCTCCTAAGTGGACCTAAAGTAGGATGTGAGATGATTCTTCCCTAGTWCTTAATACCTTTAATATACTTTAATAATAAAACCTAATAATTCCTTAGTACTTAGTATCACTTAATAAAAGATTTCTTCTTTAGTGCAGAGGATTCACCATTACAATGCACACATCCCAGGGAGAGCAAGCTTCAATCTTACCTTTAAATTCACCAACTGCTTTTAGTTATTTCACAAAAACATTATCTGTCATTACAAYCACTCATTTGTAGTAGATATCTATAATTTTTGCATTTGTGGAAAGTATCTACTGAAAAAAAAAAAGCTAAATAGAGATGGAATGTAAGCAAATCTGTTCTAACATACATGACAGTCCACTTCTTAACTTACTTCTAGGAGGAACTAGCAAAATCTTTACTTTATGCTATACAGTTTTCTTTTACACCAATATTTTTTTTTACAGTAGGTTTGCATTAGAATTAATTATTGTATGACTTTTCATAGTAGAATGACTGATGTTTCCAAAATTTAGGTTTTATTAATTGCAAGTTGCACAGCACTAGCAGAATGCAAACCCCTTGCATCACCCACTGAAGTGCATCTTGGAGCTGAGAATCCCCAGAGCACTGTAACAGGAAAACTGGACTTCTGGTGTAGAGAAAATGAATTTACAGGCTGGAATCACTGTAGCTCAAAACAAGTGTGAGGTTGTCCACAACTGAATAAGGAATAAACACATAATAGGAGAAACACATGTACACCAAACTTTTGTGTCTTGYTGTCAGTGAAAATTATTCCTTTTAAACACACTAGAAATTACTACCTTGTTATATGTACATCAGCATTCAATATCATCTTCAGGTACACACACATATTATGTAGATATAGATGTTCTTATTTACCTTTTTCCTTTTCTTTCTTCTTCAAATTACCTTGTAGGTAGGACTGCAGCAGAAGATGATGATTTYTGGATGAGCTTTCACACATTCTTTYTATAAYTTCTACCAAAATCACTCATTATGCTCTTCCAAAAACCTAAGGATTCTGAAACTTGTTTGTTATTTTATGATTCTTCAGATGGATTTATGAAAAAGCTCATTTAGTTCTTGCAGCAAAAAACATAGCGATTCCTCATGGTGAATCCTTTTTATGCTGCCTTGTAAAAGAGAGAAAAAGAGAAAACAAAACAAAACCCAAACAGAAAAATGTRTGCAGAGCAGATGTGGTGACAAGGGCTTGCCCCTTTCTAAGCTGACATGGGATTTTAATTCTTTCCAAAACATATTTCTGTCTTTGAAGAGGAGGTCCTAGGGTTTCTTTTCTCATGGGAGCCAAAAGTAAAACAAGGCTAAGTGGTTGCTAAGACTGAGAGTAGAATGCAGCTTGTCTTTCATGTGAGAATTATCTTTAGATATTCCTATATTATAAAGTGCTAAAATAATAAATAACTATTAGCCATGAATAGGTATTTGTTTCACAGTCTCACTAAATCCTGTGAAGCCTCCTATGCTCCCAAAGTAGAGGAAAGTTTTCTACTCTGGGTTTCATGGTAACTTCTTGAATTGAGCTGGCCAAATTCCCCATGTTGTGCTCATCCTTGGCTCAGCTTCTGCCAGACCCACTCCTCTCCTCAGGATTCATTTCCCTGGAAAGAGGAGTCCAGAGTGAGGAGTTGCTGTGGTTACTGCAATGGCTAAAGCCTGCACTAGAACTGCAAATCCCCCTCTCCTCTTCCATCATCCCTCACATTCTCCAGCAGCAAACTCAGCACAGGGCTGGCACTAAAACAACAGCTTTCAATCTTCCTGCGGACAGGAGCCAGCTGCAGATACACTGTGTTTGTTTGTACAACACTGGGGAATTCTGCATGTGTGTTGTCTTATTGTGGCTACCACAAGCACTGCTTTTATCCAAAGATTGTACTTCCCATTGTGGTTTTCTTATGGAATGCATTTAGGTTTTTATGTCATTGCCAGGTTTTTGAATTTCTTTGTGCTTGAAATGCATAACGTCAATAAGATACACTGCTTGTGAATAGCCCATGATGAAAAAGCACAGTCAAAGGGGTTAGGCCAGATATTAATTTTGGCCTGTTTAAATTGTATTTTTAAAGCTAATTTATGCTTCAACTAGGCCTTCAATGACAGGCAATGTTTTCTAGCCCAAGCTGTCATTGTAGTTCTTATGAGATGTCTCTGGGTTGAGTCTCCTTCCTGTTGAGTTTAAGAACTTCTTCCAAGTGATTCTTTGAGCATTTGATGACTTTGGGAGGTAATAATTACCTCCGCATTACCACCTGGTTCTCCTGGACTTCCAGGCTTGAAATAAATCCCTGAGGGCTGAACATCTGTGGGAGCACACTGGGATATTCACAAAAGGAAGATAGTGAAGTAATGTATTTTTTCTGGCAACTGTTTAAGTGATTAAGAGGTAAAGATTACTCAGGATGSCAAAAATATAAAATAAATCTTATCATTTTTTTWWTTWAWTTTTTTTTTCAAAGATCATAAGAACTGAGTATGCAATGGTAAATTATTTGATTTATCAGTATCAATGTAGCAAGGTGTTTCACGTACCTTTAATATATCAGAGGCGTGATTGATACTTCACACATGCATATTTATTTCTGGAATTACTGTCTTTAAGAGRTCTGTTCTTTAAAATCATTTTAAGTTACCAACCTATAAATTTTGGTTAGGTAGTTAAGCTATTTTTCAGTCCAGTCTACATTCTGTATGTTCCTGCATGGTGTGCTCCACCTGCAGATTAGTCTGAGTCTCCCCCTTCAGTGGAAAAGTAAAGACCTACCCAGAGAAAACAGTCCCCATGTAAATTGCATGCATATTTGCAAATTTAAAATATGCAAATTTTAAAATTAAAATTTTTAAATTTTAAAATATTTGCAAATTTATAAAATATATTTAAAAGCAAGCAACCAGCTTGCTTTTTTCCTTTTTTTCTTTAATAGCATTTTAGCATTTGCAGCTATAGTTATGCCAGTGCACAGAAGCTTTTGGGGATGGTTTAGCATATGTAGAGCATTAAGTATTAGACTGTTTTATGCTTTTTTCCTTTGTCAAAAARATTGTTCAATTACTGCTTGCTCTCTCAGTAGGTGCCCTTCTGCAGTACTGCAGTCTGCAGTCTGTTATGAATTTTCCTGTGGCCTTTTGAGGCTCAGAACAGCTTGATTCTCCCAATAAACAAACATGTTGTTTTGAAACAATTCAGATATAGCAATGCTTCAAGGACCTATGGCCCACATGGAATTTGTGGGGCATGGCATTGTGTGCAATTAAAAATCTGTGCAAACAATGCACGGTTGCCCATTTAAAATCAATAACAAAAGCAATTTGTAAGTGCTCAGAATGTAAGGCTGAGGATGAACTTTGGGTTGTATCACCCTTCCTGCAGCAGGTGTTTGAATATGGCTGTGCTGAGAAGGCAGGTAATGTTGCATCTGCACTAACCACAAATTAGTCACTGCTCTTGTAAACTGGTACATCTGTATATTTTTGGGTATCMTGGCATGTAGGATTGCATTTGCATATAAACAGATTAAATTTTATTACCCAATTTAAATGTCTGTGATGTGCATTATCCTTGTTTTGAAAGTCTGTATGAGCTATAAACTGTATTACTGAGAAGCACATCATTCTGTCATGTCTGGCAGACCTCAARTGCATATGTACGGAATTTTTTCAATTAGTAGCCCATTTATTRAAAAAAAMATCTGAAAAATAAAATYTGTAGCAGAAATGAAGAGTGGGGCKCATTATGGGGCTCACATGACAGGTCCAGGTGTAAACCCTTACTCATAGTCTGTGCAGAACACATTCAGAATGATATAAAAAAAATAGCATTTTTGAAATCTAATAGGAAATGAGGAACAGAACAGCACTCTCCCCACAGCCAGTGTCCTTGTTATGTTTGAGTGTTTGAGATCTTTATGTAGGTCATCATTTTGCCTTTCCTACCTTGTCATGCTTACAAACAATTATTATTTCACCCTTTAGCAAGTAATGAATTATAAACACACAGAGAGCAYGTAATGGTAATGAAAAGAGCACTAATGTTTACCAGTTCCTCAGAGTTGTATAAGCATGTCTGGGGCTGGAGATAATGAAGTGAGGAGAGGATAGAGGGAAGGTCCCTATCAGTCTCCTCTGTCATCCTATTTGAGTTGTTGTGAGCTGTGAAAATATTCACTGAGCCAGAAAAGAGGAAAAAGTCAAACTTTATGGCCTAATACATGGGACAGTTCATAAGAAGTGGAGTTCAAATCAAATATGTGATTTTTTAAAAAGCCTTTTACAGTGTGAGTTTTTTTTCTTCTATCTGAATAATTACTTGAATCTGGTACATTAAATATTATGAAACATTCAAATTAATCTTTAACCACAAAATGTGACATTCTCCCCAAGATATTTGACATTCAAATTACTGCAACGTCAACAACATTGTCTAAGGGTGAGAACAGCTTCCTTCAAGGTTTATGCTCAGTCTCTCAARCAGAGGGAAGAATTGAATATGCATTCTCAGAGCCTGGTAGGACAATCCAACAGTTAAGCTAATTTATAAATAGATTCAAAAATCCAGAGGAAATTTTTAATGTAAATATTTATTTTGTTTCTGAAAATTTGAACTAACTAGAAAGGACCACKCTTATATTTTTACAGAGCAGGCAATAGATATTTCTTGTCCACTGCAGTACCTTTTTTTGTTGTGGTCTCTACTGTCTCTCTCAAGATATTCCTTTTGCTTTCTCWGTGGATACAGTAGAGTCCTAATTGTTCTTGGCAGAACTATGAAATTAGAAGTATTAGGGAATTACTGTTTCCCACTGTGGCAAAAGACAGATGATACTTTATATTCTGTTTATGTGTGTGAAATTTAGAATGAATTATAAAAATATGATTAGTATTTCTGGTAATATATTAAACTGGTGTTGTTTATGAAGGATGCTGCTTTTTTCATRGTGTGATGTATACACTAATTACTGTTGAATGTTGGAAAGAATTGGAGGATTGCTTTCACTAAATTCTCTGTATTTACTGGTTGTATTTACTACATCTTATTTGCCCAGTAATATATTGAGAAATTTGTAAGAACAACCTTATAAAGTTCAGCACCTGTAAATATGGCAGACAAAATCCATGAAATTAATGAAGGGTTGGTTTTATTAGCATCTAATTGCATGGACATAAAGACCTTCTACTTGAAGATTAATGTAATTTTACTTCATAGTTTCTTTTTTTTTTTATTGAAGACATAAATTGCTCACATGACTCTACAATATGTTTTCTGAAATCTAATGRAAACCTGCCCACTTCATCATTGTGCTCAGGATGCTATTTCATATAAGWAATTTTGTCTTTTATGGATGAATAGAGATATAAACACCATTTTCCTAAAATGACCTGGGTGCTCAGCAGAAATCCTTAATAATATCTCTTTCAAGGAAGACATATTTTTTATCCCAGAAAAAATGTTACCTCTCCTCTGTGTGTGATGTTCCCTCGTGTAGCCTTTTTGCCTTRCCTTAGGAGAATGAGGTGAAATGCCTGCTCTGTGGCAGAGCTAAGAATGGAAAATTATCCAAATCCCAAGGAACCTGATTAAAAAGTTCCTTTTAAAGTAAAAGGGTTATTCTGAAGAGGAAAAATAGACACTTGTCAGTTTTAMTGCCTTTGCATTTGCCTAGCTGTGTTCCTATGAAACACTGCAGTAAGATTGTATTAGGGTTGGTAAAATGTTTTTGGTTAATTTGATGTTTTTAGCAAACTTCCAGTATTTTGGAAAAAAGTCTTTTTGATTGGTAAATACAGAATTTTTTTTTTCTAATAAATGGCAGTCAAGAATCACTCATCGGGGTGCACAAGTATAATTTTTGTAATTCTGGCATATCTTCACTTAGGAAATAAGCATTCTTAGTGTCAATATTTTGCAGATTTTAAAAAGGAAACTGTGTACACTGAGCCTGCCTGAGTATGGTARAGAATTTAAAAGTGAGTCCTGTCTGGAAGTGAGCTGGATTCTCACTGAAGTCTCATGTAGGTTCATAAAATCAAATCAAATTTAACTCACATTAAAGGTTTGGTTAGAAATTCATGTATATTCCAGGAAATGTCAATTTAGTTTGCTGGTAGGTAGAAGGAGTAACAACTTTGAATACAAATTAAATTATGTAATAAAAATGAAGATAGTTTTACTCAGCATTTTTTGGTCATTTTGGTATATTTTGAAGCTGCTGAATTGCAAGCTGGAGAAAAATAAAACTTTTAGGGAAATAGTACAATTGATTTTACAGTAGCTTCTAAATTCCAGGGGAGTTTCTATAATTCAGTTGATTTGATGAATGCCATTGATGAATGGCATTTGTCTCTCAAGTGAAAATCTCATGCTCCTTGTTACATGCTGCAACTCATAAGAGCACTTATTTGCTTTTGTGCTACAGCACTGGTAAAAATTGGGTTAACTTTGCCTTCAGTAAGCTGATTTTTAATATGTTATGTTGACAATAATAAAATAAAGCTTGGAATTTCACAATAAAGAACATGAAGTATATTTCACCACAGCGTATTGCACCTGGAGAGCGTTACACCTGGAGGATTCTTAAGGAYCTTTAACAGGTCTTTGCTGCTAACACTTAAAATTAAAAAGGTTTGCTAAGCCTTTGCAATAACTGAGTGCCATATTTGTGAGGAGACTCCTGAGACTGAAGAATATCTGCTGCTTTGCTGCTGTCTTTTGGTTTGTTTTTTTTTTTTTTTTTTTAACTGCTAGCTTTGTCCCAGGTCATTGTGTTTAACTAATGTGCTCTTTATGGAATCTGTGTTTCACTAATGTACACTTATATTTCATTCAATAGCTTGTGTTTGACTGAAAACAAAAGTTGAAATCAGGAATTAATTACGCATTGGTATGGCTTTTTCAATAGAAAATTTTTACAAGTTCTGAAGTCTTTCTAATTTCATATTTGATTTTTTTATGACTACAGTTCTTTAATGTCAGATGCTCTATTTTAAAGAGTTCTTAGTAGMCAAAATGTTAAAATTATGGAGGTATTTATACAGTAAAACATCACCTACTAAAAAAAAAGAGAAAAATTAAATAACCCTAAACATTGACCATTTATATTTTCTCTCTTTGAAGCAATATAACTATTAAAAGTATACATTTATAATTTATTTTACACATTTTGTTTTCATTTTGAYGTGGAGCAGGAAAACACTTCAGTATCTTTTTAAGGAATTTCCTGACTGGAACAATCTAAGTATAGCTTAACCTGCTGTGCCAAGGTTAAATCAGCTGTGGCTGTGTGTACATGACTCCTGAGCTGGCTTTTGCCTTTTCAGACATGTTAAAATATTTGYGTGACACAGCTACCCAAGCTGTTCACCTGGCAAGTGATTTCCTCACGTAAGTCACACTTTATACCCTCTTAAAATGTGCAGCACTACAAAACCTGGCCAGTGAATGCTGTTTCTGCCAAGAGGCAGAAGAATAAGTTCTAGTTTATTTTATTACATTCCTTTTTGGAATTTTTTCAAGCAATTGGTGTTAGTGGCTCTTCTACTGTGCTGACATAAATCTTTCTTTTCTATTCTGTTTCCCTTTCCTCATTACACACTTTACACTGGGTTTGTGTGCATCCTTCAATATTGCTGATGGTTTTCCTAACTCTCCWGAGAGCCTGCAGAGAAATTTAAGGATCACTTTTTCCATGATCACTCTTAGAAGTTTTATAGCATAATAGGAATGAGCAATATTTTTTCTGTTCCTTATCTGAGACCTTGTAAATTGATACCAGAAACAACATTACCTTTGGATTTTTCTGTTACCTTTGGATTTTTCCAAAGGTCAGACATAGGTAGACAAAGAGAAAAAAAAAAATGTCAGTAGAAATAAAGGCAGATATGGCAAATGGAGAAAAAAACAGTAGTCCTTTGGGAAAAAACTCTTAATTTAAGTAATTTTAAAAGTTGTATGAAGTAAGAGGGAGCAGGGAGGGTTAGTACATTATATGTTTGAGGTCATTGGTTTAGCACAGTYCTGACTCTGTGTTTGTTAACCAAGTGTCACAAATTCAATTTCATGTGAGCTAAAGATTATGGCTGTGGATGAGGGTGTTTGGAGGCATTTTATGGAACATGAGAGTGTGTTAGTTAAGGATAACCTGGGAGATATAACTAGTTTCCCTGTTGGTTTTGAAAGCCATTCCTCTTGAATATTCTTCAAAGATATTTACTATTAAAAGCTGCATGACCTGGGTAATCTGTCCTAGCTCTTTTCCACCCTTACCATTGTAAAGTTTCACTGATACTTTTTACGTGCTCTAAAGTCCATCACTCATTACTGTCTCCATCAGAGACAGAGAGGTCATTCTTAGTAGCAACATTTTGTGCATGTGAAGATTGTAAGCATTATCTTTCTTCAGAAACTTTTTTGAAGGAAAAGGAATGAAAAGAGAATAAAATAATTTATTCAGCAGTAGTTGTTTTCTGAACTTAAAATTCATACTGGTTGTGCTAGTTTTTCTATGGTTTTGTGTCTTTTCGTAATTGCCTAATAATCAGCTACTTTGTGGGGTGTTTTTACTTGTTGAGTTGTTCTTGCCTCTCTGCCCTTTGGAATTATGTCCTTATTCTACTCTTAGACTAGATTATTCTAAGTATCTCCTCCACTYAACCTCAGCTTCTTTCTTTGCCAGGTCTTTGAACTAAGGTAATTACAATAACCAAATAACTGTGAGTCTTAGAGCAAATATAATTTATCTTCACATTAGAAGTTAAATAGTACTTTAAAAGTGTGTTAGTACTCTAAACAATCACTTCACTATATAATCTCCAATTATATCAAATTTATTCTGAGTGAAAAGTTCTTGTTCTTCCTCCTTGCTATTCAAACTTCTAAAACCATAATGCAGTAACTGAATTTCCATAAATTACCATGAAGATTCTGCTTGTGATGATAGTCTGATTTTGAGGTTTTAACTTCAGGCATGTTAATTATCATTAGGAATAACAGAGCCAGGCAATAAACAATAAAATAACACCTTAATGGCAAAGTTTGGAAAAAGCCAAGTGACACAGTACATGTGAGGTGCAAATCGCTCCCAAACATACAGACAATTGTGTTTGAAAACCATCAAGATTATTTTCAGTGGTCTATTTGTGGCAGATTCCTTTTGTAGCAGATTGTTTCATCTSCTTAATGTCCCTGTCATCCCACCTCTTCAGCAAGTATTCAGTGGCTTTTTATAAAAGTCTGGGTTTCTTCTCAGTGATTGGCTTCATGGTCTTAGGAAGGCACAGTAATACATCAGACCTACCTTGGTAAGGTTTGTGGCAAAATTTCAAATTAATTCCCCCAGAATTTATTTCTCAAACTTTTACTAAGGCAGAGTATTCCCTTCCCTGCTTCCCTCCACTCCCAAATATTCCTAAAAAGTGAGGTTTTGGCTCTTGTGTTGCTAAAATGTGCTGAATTTCTGTTCAGCATTTGGAATTTTCTTAATTTTGGCATACTTGGGGTTCACATATGTCATGCTTCCTGCAGAGCTCAAAAAGGCRAGGGGAAATGGATTCTAATGTGGAATATATTACTTGTGTTATTGTTGATATTTTTATCTTTTGTATCTCTTTATATTTATGAATGTCRTAAGTGCTTGCATGACATACTGTCATGTGCTCTGAGTTTATTCCAATGCCACAGTTCCATTATTTCATCAGTTTATTATGTGAACAAGATGAGAACCTGGGTTCTGTCCCAGTGTGTACCAGCAGACAGATCTGTGTGTCACCAGTGGATAGCTGACAGCAGACTTGGCTTAATTTCATGGAAGGTACATACCCTGGATAACTGTAGGACACAACCCAAATGGAGAGTGAAAAAAGTCCCTGTAGAGGGTGAACAACCATCTTTGCCATATTTACATTATATTGACTCGACTGCAAGGGAGAAAGGAGAACTGTAACATCGTATTCAGGTAGTGAGAGTTTATGAAGGACATCAAGAACATTTTGAGGTAAAGGGATATTTTCTATCTTCTACATCCCAYAGACACAGCAGATCTGCTGAATGATTTTTTTGAAGCTGTTACCTGGGAGATGGAGATGAGAAAGTGTSTATGGAGTAAAGGTGTCTCACTGAAAAATGGTGTTAGAGCATCCTGCCGTGGTGGTATTAATAGTATGGAAGACTGAGCCTCAGAAATGGCAGATACCAACAGCATTCATCATCCATTTCTTTGAAATAAGCTGTCTGTACTGCTAAAATTCTCTCTTGTCCTTACAGTTTTAAAGAAGTTTAGGGAAAAGGAGTATCTTTCATGGTCTGGTGGGATCTGAGTTTCCACCATAARATGGTGATGTTCATTTGAAAAGAAGGATTTGAAGGTAGAATTAAAATAGAGAGGTTCTGCATTTCTGCCTTATAAAAGGTCAGACACTTTTTCAGAGCTTTGTGTTTGTACTAATTACAGATAATTCCAAGGGCCAAAATAAGGTTTTGATTTGGCATTTTAGATAAYTTTTATAATTTCTGTTTCTAAATTTTTCTGAGTGGAAAAGGCTTAGGAGATAGAGTCATTACCTAGTTTAGGACAAGTCCTGAAGAAAAAGGAACCTTGATCCATCTTGCAGATTTTCCCTTTGTAGAAGACCCTTCTTCACCAATCCTGCTTATAGGTACTATATTAACTTGCAAACTCTGAATTAATTTAATATTAAGCATGTATTTACACATTGAAGTGTCATAATTTAATTTTAAATTGCAGCATTTTGAAGGCATCAATCAATTCCAATTTTCATGTGCAAAGTGATGCCATCTTCCAGCCTCAAAGTCACTTTAAGTGCTGTCCCTCTGCATGACAGGCTGGATACAGAATGTAAGGCACACTCTAAATTTATGAAAGTTGCTCTAAGGGAATGAAAACATCATATCCTTTAAGAACAAGATTAATGACTGATGAATATTAAAATACTTTTCCAAGCAGTGTTATATGGAATACATTACATGAATATTCATTTAAATGTTAGGGTTTCACAGATATGTTCATGTGCATAAAATGGCAGTTGAGAGCAAACTGTCTTGCCATGTTACGCAGAAGTATTTTTTAAAGCTGTACAAACTGATTACATTTATTGTGAGAGTGTAACCCTTAGGTGAAAAAACTCATGAGCTCAAGCCCTAAGGTGAAACCCCTAAATTAATAACTTCCCTGGAAGAAGAAAGTGTTGAAGTGTCACCTTTTCAAGGAGAAGTTACTCCTCATGTAGTAAAAATGACTATGAATGTCTGACTTCTTGCATCATTTTGAGCTCTTAATGCAAGAGGGTTGCAACATTTTCATAATGTATTAATCTTTTAAAGCTTTCCCCCACAAATTAAGTGCAGGTTTTTTACACTTGGAGACTAAAAGTGAATAGAGGTATCTARAGCAAATTAAAACAGGATTTAACTTATTTTTCAGTGGAGTCATAGGTGTAACTATACAGAAAAAAAAATGGAGTTTTTACTTGCAACATATGAACTAATTAGATTTATCTAGTAACATTGTTAAAAGTATACAAAACCTTCCTATCAAGGGTTTCTATGTCTTTGAACAGACTATTGCAATTAATTTTGTATCTGCAATAAACTTTGAGGTTTATGGTGAATGAGTATGAAGTGATCCACTTTTCTGGAAAAAAATATTTTTTTTTAATTTAGCATTGTAGAGAAACTTAAATTGTCAAGGAAAGTCTGTAACAGAAATGTCAGGTCTTTTCAGTGTCATTCTTAGATGTTTATGGGTTGAACTCAAAGATCTTGAAGGTCTCTTCCAACCCTAGTGATTCTGTGATTCTGTGATTCTGTGATTCTGTGGTTCTGTGATTAAGGTCAGTCCAATTTACCAAATAAGGAATATACATGATCATGTGCTTAACAGCTAATCTGTTTCACATAATTTATATGAAAATAATTTATTATAAATCAAAAAGGAAAAAACAGACTAAATATCACCTATTTTTACTAACTGATCTTTTTTCATGAGCAACAGCTCTTGTCCAGAGGTGATTCTACAGTGGGTTGGTTTCTTATGAACAGGATATTTGTATGTGAGCAGAATGAAGTCTAGATTTTTATTTTTTTCTGCATTATCATTATTAAGCTCTTTACATACTGAAAGCTGTTACATGTTTATATATTGTAGGAAACTAGACAAAATGTCTTTTCTAATTTATATCTTACAATGTGTCAAGTACAGCAATATACCTTTGAGAACAACATTAAGGGTGTTCAGTCAATGAGAATGTTGATCACTTCTAGCCTGGGAAGTTTTTTTGAGAATCAAGAAATTATGCTGTGTTATTTCTCTGCCTGCTATTCCAAAAAACTCCCCTTCCATTAAACATCTAGGGGTGTTTTATTTAAAACTGGAATCAAATCTATTTTATTCACTTTTTATTGCTAAAACCCCAAAATTCTGCAAAAAGAACTCACATTAAATTTGAAAATATAATTGAAATTCAGCCCTTTCTTTAAATAATCATGTTTCTGATGYCCATATGAGAAGTCAGTAAAATTAGGATGAAGTATTACACACAAATTAATGTTATTCAGCACTACAATTCCAGTTTCCCCATTGTGTCCATATCCACCCATCCCCCTCCCAAAAACCCTAGAGTTCTACAATTTTCAGGAGACCAAGGCAAATCATCATCAGTGATRTGTCATTCTTGTGACTGATGGACAGCTCTGTCCCAATCAAGAGAGAAGAATCTTTTCTATGTATAACTGACAGCACTTTTAATGTCTGGTGTGGCAGACATAGAATGAAAAATAAATTTAAGGAAAGMGGACAGAGAAATCAGATATTTCAGCTTGAGGCTGATATGGTAATAAGATGTTCCTGTCCAATGAGTARTAGAGGGGCATGAGTAGAAGGAAGRGSATTTCACAATTGATTACTCTTCAGGACATCATAAAWAATATAAAAGTATGTAGCTTAAAACACTGATTTGCTA